TGTTTAGTCTGGTATTTGCGGAAGAACTATGCTTGTAGTGGCTGACAATAGCCCTAGCTTTGGCCAGCATGTGTAGCATACCAGGAACATCTTTTTTAGCATCGCTGAGTGCTAACTGAAGGGTGTGCGCAAAACACCGTATATGCGTCCATGGTGTCATCGACGCTGCACTGACCATATTGGCAGCGTTGTCTGTTACACAAAAAACTGGAATAGTACAATCAGTTCCTTGTTGATGATTCCAATCATTTAGTAATTCCATCAATTTAGAAGAAATATTTACAGCGTTATGTTCTTCGGGGAAATGAGAATTACTCAAGCAATAAGATTTTATATTGAAATCTAGATCAACAAAGTGGCCTGTCAGGGAGATAAATGAATCGTTTGCTGCGGATGTCCAGATATCAGAGGTCAGAGATAAGGATTTTAAATCCTGCATTGTATTTTTAAAATCATTTGATATTTTTACTTTTGTCTCTTTGAAAAGATCCGGTATAACACTGCGAGAAAAGGTCGTTCTTGAAGGTATTTGATATCTGGGTTCCACAATACCCATTAGGTTTCTGAAACCATCTTCCTCAACCAAAGTATATGGATGGAAACTTTTGGCCATCCACTTTCCAATTGCCTTGGTTATCAGTTGCGATCTGGGATGGTTGGAAGATAATTTCTCAGTTGTTCTAAAATGCTCATCTATTTTAAGTTGCTTAGGGGCTGTAGGCCTAGGCATTTTAGACCTTTTTTGTTCAGCTTTTAAACTTAAAAATCCCTTCTGTTCTGTGTCATATTGTTTATATATGTTAGCATGTTTATTTTCTAAATTCTTATTATAGACGATGTAGTCCCTGTAGGAGTTTTGAAGGTTTTTTTGCAACTATTACATTTTGCTTCTTTGGAGCTTGTCTTAGTAAAATATTTCCAAATAATGGCCTGACCAACTGGTTGTGTAATACTAGAACTAGGCCTAGGACTAACTGGGTTGATCACTTCAACAGAAGTACTTGTAGAAGGTCCAGCTGGTGGGTCATCAATGCATTGTTCATCTTCACTATCCATCTTGTAATTTGAACGAAACTCAGTAAACTAAACAAAAGGTCAGGCCTTAAAAACTACAAATACAATCGAAATTAATTAAACTCGCTACGTCCAAACTGTTCTAATTGTACTTTCATTACACGACGTGACTAGAGAAATACACGCACTTCCTACATTTTGGGCGAAACTATTTTTGTAACAAACTACTTTATAAAATAACAAATAAATTATAACAATGTTACGACTAGAGAACGATAAAAAATTTTAAAAGTAAACAAACACTAAACTGAGATAACAGCCAAGAAGTAAAACCAAAAACAATAACAACAAACAACGATTCAGAAACGAAACGGCAACACGCAATATGATTTTTTCACATTCGTGCAGTACAAAGTAAAACCAAATGCAATCTTTAACCATTGATTATAGTACCTTTATAACATAATAAGCGTAACGTCAACAATATATATGATTAAAATCATTGACGAAGCAATTGCTTTATACGAAGTTGGTCAATCATAACGATTTTAATGGAATAAAAAATCCACAAATATTATATACTAATATGGTTGTACCGTCAACCCGCCACCAAGCACGAAGGCACTAACGTGCCACCCCGACAATCCGCCACCACACGGAAGAGGTGCCACCACGACAACGTGCACCACATCAACCCGCAACCATTGATTATACTTCTTCCCCAAGATGTATAATCAATGATGCAACCCTAAACTGCTTCTTCTTGTTGGTGGTTGGTTGATGTGGTGTCATCTTGACGCGTTCCCGCTTTGTCAATGCTAATACCACGAATATTAAAACCACGGCCGCCTCTAACTACAGGCCGCGGCCTTCGAACTGGCAACGTCGCAAGTGGTGTTGTAACAGCTGTTTTTGTTTGGAAGCAGCTAATGGTATTTGTGTATTTACGAACGAATGGTTACTGGACTATGACATTATTGACTCCGCTTAAAAATCTACAGATAAATTCATATTGTTTCGGTTTTCAATTCTGTATGTTTTATTTTCAATATTTTAATAAATTTATATTAATAAATTTAAATCAATAAAGTGCGATTTAATGAGCTAATGTCACATGTCTGCCATGTTATCTTATCGGACGTCTGTCACTGAACAACACCACTTGCGATGTGTTGCCAATTCGACCAGACCGCGGCCTGTAGTTAAAGGCGGCCGTGATTAAAACAGACACGGTATTGTTCATAAACATAAACAAATGTGTTACTGGCTGGAAAGTGCAAATTTAAAATAGCTTAAAATGATTTGTCCAAACCATGTTGTTATTAGCACTTGATCCGGACCAGTTACGTCATTTGTTTACATTGTCGATTTTATAACAAAGTCGCCGTTCCAGTGCTTCTCAATCCAGTATTCTTTCTCACTCAGTCTCAGTTTAGTGTCCAATCCAAACATTGCAGCAAAAATGATGTGCAGTGTCGACGGCAGTGGCATTGGCTAGTTGATTTAGTCAGCTGATTTCGTCTTGTCATTGCGTAATTCTTTCGTTGGTTGGTTCTTCTGTTCTTCAGTTCAGTTCAGTATTTACTGAGCAAACATCGTGTAATGATGTAGGCTATGCTTATCGAATTACATATTGACACAATTATGAAACGGAGATTAAATTTAAATGAAAGTTAGTTCCTTATTTCCTATTTTAAGTTTTATTTGCTAGTTCAAAAAGTATTCGGCTCGAACATTTCGAACTTTTTGAAAATCACGAGCCGAGCCGAATAGGACGCTATTCGGCTCGAAAAAGCTCGATGTTCGAATACTCGCACACCCCTACAGTATAGCATTTTCTGAAAAATGTAGTCATTTTCATAAAGGAAACAGAAGAATTCCTTGAGATTTGTTAATGGTACGCTGCTAAGTTCTGATCAAGAACAGTTGTTAATGTTTTAAGATTGTATTATTTTTCTATAATTTAAAACCATAATAAAGATGCAGAAACTATTGTAAGATAAATTTTCAATCCGTTCGGAACTAGGATACCAAAATAGACGCCAGATTCTTAACTACCAAACATTAAGTTTATCGTACAATTTTTGCTGATATTAACTGTAATTAGGGTACTTTAGTAATATCCGGAGGCCCATCTACAGGGCACTGTGGTGGTTATGTTTGGTTGGGTTATCATAAATGGAAAGAAGATATTTAAATTTTTAATTGCATTACAGTCCAAATTTGACATGATTATAATTAGCGGCCATTGAGCCGCTAGCTGCCACACCAGATACAGGCAGTGACAGGTGATGCGGGTGCTCCGGTCAACGACCTCACCTTGGCCTACTTGGAGGGGATTTGGCGAGCGAAAGTATGACTTATCTGGTATTGTTTGGTTCATAATGAAACGAGAAAAGTCCTACAAACATATTTATGATAACCCAACCTAACATAACCGCCGCAGCGCTGTATAAGGGTGGCCCCCGGATAATACCTAAGTACCGTAATTAGCTATAAAATCGGTAATTATTAAGATCATAATTACATATTTAAAAATTCACAAAGATTTTGAGCTTTGAAATGATATTCTTAACAGAAAATGAATTTTAGACCTACTGAAGCAGTTCCAATTTACCGAACATAACGTTTTTCACGTTATATTTACCGATATTAAATACTTACATAAACTGTAAATCGCTATAAATTGATAAATTAATATAATTAAAATTATTTGATTTCAAAAATTAACAAAAATTTAGTACATTGAACAAAACTCATGGGAGAAAATCTAGGTTTCTTAAGCCCTTTAAAGCAGTTCCCACCTGCCAAACCTTAAGTTTTTTGCGTTTATATTTACCGATATTTACTTATTATTAACTGCAAATTGCTATAAAACCAATAATTATTACAATTAAAATGATTTATTTCCCAGAAACCTAATTCTTCAGAGAGAAATAATTTTCTTAGGTCTACTGAAGCAGTTTCTAATTACTGAACCCTTAAGGGACAAATAGAAGCTTTAAAGAGCGCCATTTATGGCTATTATTGATATACAAAGGTTCTTTACTTTATCTATAACATTACAAAATATATTACACCGTTCCGGGAATTTTCAATCACACTGAATATGCAAATAAAACATACTAGAGGTCAATACACCCATCTACTAATTGCTGTATATTTCATAAAAATTGTAACTACAGTAACAACGAACGTGGATAAACCACGCTCCCGAGTACCGACTACCATAATTGAGAGAGTGGAAGTCAGATGCAGTTCAGCACAACACATGTACCTAGTCTGCTTCCGGCGACCAGTGGCGGCTCCCATGTATTTGTGGTAACTAGTGTATCCAACAACAGGCCTACTTCCCAACCACCCAACCATCGTCACTTACCAATAAACAGTAAATACTCATTAGCTATCAAAGTTTATGGATAAAGTAGCTCAAAATTTTTATAAATATAAAATTCCTAGAAAAAAATTTTAGAAAAAGATATGCATCAAAAGTTATGAAAATCCCTGAACAATACGATTTCCACGCATATTTCCCAGTTTTTAAAAATTCACGCATAGTTTCCGATTTTTCCGGGATTTCGGGTCACTGACAACCCTGTCGAGTATCGACTCATGCTTTTGTTTGACCTATGGTCATAGAACCAAAAAAATGTATTTGCCAAATTTAACTTTAGTAAGAAAATTCCTGAGAATATCAATACTATAATACAAGATTAGCACAAACTAATTAACATTACAAACTTTAATGTGACAGGATAGTATTAGAAAAAAATTTAGAATGGTAAAAATGAGGTGGTGTAAAAATTAAAATTACAACTGTGTTTACAACAGTTCAATAGTTCTCATTCTTCCAATAATTGACCAGAAAAACAATGGATGAGGGATGCATTTTATTCCTCGTAAGCTTAAAAATGTTGTTATTCATTTATTTACTTTTGTTTGATATGTCTTTAGTAATTAGTAAAACTGCAACCATATGATCCTACCTTCTTGGTCCACCGCTTCAGTGTGCTGTACCCTTGTGATACCAACTTAGGGTAGAAAAAAGTGTTGAAAGCGTAAACGCTTATGTGCTTATCCCCCTTGCCTCGCTCAATAATCAAATTCATGTAAAAGTTGATCACCTAAAATACAGATTCGATATTAGAAATAACTTCTTAATCAGCATAATAACTGTTATTCATTTTAAGAAGAGTAAATAAAAATATGTCTAACACTTAAAAACAACACTTTTCAAGTGTTAGTACCTATGGAACAAGCCTTGGCTCGGTATAGTTCATTTTTGATTTTAAAAGCAATAGAAAGGAAACTCAGGTTTTTTACTACTAATTTTGTTTCAGTGGAATTCCAATTTATTATGTATACAGCTCTCCAAATGATGTAAACTATAAATAAACAATATCAGCAATCTGACACATACTTTCTCCCATTAGCTTGTCAACAACCTTTAACATGGCCGGGTAAGCAGTGGGCGTAACTATGATATTATAAGGAAAATCACAAAAGTTGCAATAACTTTTGAACCACAATTGTTTTTTTTTCACCAATGGGGGGTTGCACTATTTTGTTTAGAATTATAAGGACCATAACACACAGTAATTTTAATCAAAATCAGTTTGTTTTAAAATCTGATTTTTTGTTATTTAATGGGGTTTTATGGGAAAATAACATAAGTTACAACTACTTTTGAACCGTAATTTTGACGGAAATATGTAACGGTATATTATCCAAACATTATTGAATGGATTTGGCGGTTGGTAAACTTTGTATGTCTCCGTCGAGATTCGGAAAATCAATACGCGTCGCACTTGGCTTCGGAACCAAATCAGAGAGCAAATGCTTGGTGTTTGAGACTTGATCCGGAGGCGGGGTTAGAGGATAGCAAAGGCAAGTCAGTCTGCGAGCAGACACTATATTGAAATGACGTGTTATCTTGTGGGAGAGTTAGTTATAAACTGCCTTTAGTCGTTGGACTGCTCCCACTATAACTACAAATATCCTCTAACATAGAATTTTATTGCATATAACCAGTGAAGTTGCCCCGGAATTCTACAAACGTATCTAATAAGCAAAGGATAACTTGGTACGTTGGTGAATGTGAACACAAATCCATCGCAAAACGGAATCGCAAAACGAAAATCCGTTTTTCCTGTTATTTTATGGGTTTTTATGGGAAAATCTCCAATAAAAATCAAAGTTAAAAAAATTAAAATAACGCCTGGAGAAATTGAACATACCTCATGGCACATGTTTAACAGAACTTCTAGCTGCAGGATTAAAAATCTTTTTGTACTAATTGAACTTAAAAAAAAACATAAAAATAACAGACAAAAATTACAAAAGAAAAGCTTTAAAAAAAAACCCAGATAGAAATAAAATTATTCGTAGGAGTTTGAATAATAAAAGCTTACAAATATTAGTATTATTAAATTAATGAATAACACCTTATAATTTGCTAATATACTTGTCAAAAACTGCACTTGTCATGACAGTTGAGTTGATTTACCTCGTCATTAAGCCAATTCAGGCCGTTGAGTGTTTGAATGTCCCTTCTTGTAATCTTTTGCCCAAAACCTTCAACTAAACCTTGTCCTGCTGGGTTTGGCCTGAGTGCATCAGATATTCTATCCTGTTAGGACATACAAGTATGTGAATTTATGGTACACTTAAGGCTTACTTGTACAAAGGTCTCAATAGGTAAAACATGAGGATATATACACACAAAATTGGAATATTTTAATTTTGTGGGTTATATATTTGTCTGCTACCTATTGAGAAGACCTGCCAACTGTGGAGCCTGCTTAGCCTATTCAAAAAATCAAACCTGTTCTGGCCTCCTAGAGCCTTTTACCAAGAATTAGTATTCATCAAGTCATCTATCTACCTGAAGAGTAAAACCGCGCTCAATTTAATTGCTGTAAAAATTTCTGACACAGGCACATTATTTAGTTCTCTTCTAAAGCAAAATTAATTGTTTCCACCTATGTGAACTTTTAAAGAGATAATTTTGAACACAAGGCATTATCATATATTGTTTTAGCATTTTCACAAACCATGTTCCAAAAAATAAAGAAAAACAAAACAGTAGTGATGGGCGGATCCAAGAAAATGTCGGTACCAGATCCGAATCCGGATCTTGAAAAATTCGATAGAAATACACACAGTCATAAGGGCGGGTTAAAAAAAAACGTAATAAACAGAATGCCAATTTAAATCATACTGTTTAAAATTAAATTGGTAATGTTTAAAGATTAATACATCTTATATATAGAGTAATCTCCAGAGCCCATAATCCCTCATTTTTTGGGGATAAAAATTTTCAAAATCATAAAATGAAACTTTGTCCTAAGTTTGCACGACCACCAAAAGGGTATCTGTGTATATTTTACAATAGTTCGATCTTGAGTATGCTATATCGTGGTTTTTGCATGGGATGGTCTTCAAAAGTTCCAAAATCGGAAGATCCAAAGAATATATTGCCGATCGGAAGTTCCAAAATCAAAAGATCCAACGTTTATATTGCCGATCGGATGTTCCAAAATCGGAATTTCCAAAGGTTATTTAGCGGGTCGGAAGATCCAAAATCAAAAGATCCAAAGAAAATATTGCCGATCAGAAGTTCCAAAATCGTAAGATCCAAAAGTACAGTCATAACTAGAAGTACAAATTTATTTCTTAAAGTAAACTTATGAAATAGGCTGTCCTTTTCACTTTGGATCTTGCGATCGTATGTCGGGTCGGAATTTCCAAAACGCTACTAGTCAGATCGGAACATCCAAAATGCTAGAACTGTTGCGTCTCTCAGATTGAAGGCGATGAACGCCGTAACCAGCCGCGTTGCTAATGTCAGGGGAAAAGTTTAGACACTCGAGTTTAGATCTGTATAGAAAAGTAACCAAACTACTTATTTGGTGTGTGTATTTTTTGTCCAAAAACCATTTCAACATCATATTTAAGACGTATATTCAGACAATGTTTAAAAACAACATTTTAATTCGCTCTATGTTAGATAAATATTGTCACATAAATTAGCCATTAAGTATAACGGAGTTTTTAATTAATTTTAGTTTTGTTCTAATTTATATCACGTAAAGGCAATTACTAAAATAATGTTTGTATTTTATCAATGGAGTATCAAAATGCCCTTTGAAGCACTCTTTGTATAGTTTTACAATTCTCTTAGCGTATGTATTGGCCTTAAATATATGCTATGATAATTTTTTTTACATCTCCTTTTTTAAATTTAACCATCATGACAACAATATTATCAAACATAGATGGAATGAAATACTCCTAATAGAAGAGTTAATCTTCTGAGAATACTCTCAGTAGGCTAACATTTTATTTTTTGCTATTAGAACATAGAATTAAGTATTATGGAACAAATAGGTAGTTTACTTTGTGGTTTATACTGTATTTATCTGAAGTAACTTATCTTTTTATAAAGTAAAATATGTATCTAGATAACAGCCCAATTTGTTTAGGAAATCTTAATTTTCCTCATACAGTTTCTAACTCCCGTATTTGTCAAATACTGCTTGCCTCACTGTGGTATATATAGATTGCCTTCTAACAAGGCACCATAATTGCAGACGGCGTATATCGGTTGATGCCATGTTGATGTATGTAACTAAATCATAATCCCTGAATTTAAAATCTTAGATCGAAAGACTTAATGCTAGACTTTAAAGACTTTATGATTGAAAGATACCAATTCAATAATACAAGTCTTGAATTAACTCAATAATTCACTAACTCTTGACTCTAACTCTTGTTTGTGCCTGATACTAAATACATTAAAAAGTAGTATGCAAATTATTTGATTTGCATTTTATATTTATATGAAATTTTTTATATACTCAACAAATTTTTACCCTTCGTTCATTTGGGGTCTGAGGCATATCCCTAATCATTTCATGGCTTTTGTTTGATCAATGTCAATGTAAGGGTTATTAATTACTTAGCAAGTACCTTCGGCTTCACCTGCGATGGTATAACCATAAATATCATATAGCATAAGAAATGCTTTATGATATATACTTTTTTTTACGTAATTAAGTAAATTTGTTTGTGTAATCTTTTTGGATTTAGTTACTTCTTTAATTATGTTACGGTAATAATAATAATTATCCGTAATGGTTGTGCCAATGATGATGAGTAAGATATCATTATTGTGTACTGCCTCCCGTAAAATTAAAATACTCCCGCGTCAGTGAACCTGCAGAGAAACCAATTTTCCATTTACCTTGCTGTAATTCTACTAAATTCTTCCCTAGTAATTGTAAGAAATATTTCCTATATGAATATTATTAATTTCAATGAGTACCTAGGTTTGCTGTTACAGGGGGGAGATAATTTGGTATGTATGTTATTGATAGCTTGGTATGAAGTAAACCAATTTGCTCAATCTGTTTCTCTAAGGTGTAGTTATTTCATAGGCTGTATCGTATATTTCAAATTAGTAAATCCTGTGTTGAATTATAATACAGATGTAGAAGAAACTTATGATATAAAGAAGAAGTGCTCAAATGTAATCATAGGTTGATATAGACCTTAATTGTCTTTGTTTGTAAAATACAATGTTGCAAATCCAAACTCTAACGGACAATCGAGTCGGGCGGAGCACGAAATGAGTTTTGAGATAAAAATATGCCTATATTTTAATCGGGAAAGTGAGCTATCAGCATGCCAAATTTCAACCTAATCCGACCAGTGAGTGATTGAACCCCAATAAGAAAAACAAACACACAAACTTTCACAATGTATTATGTTGTTAGTATGGTAACACTTTCTTAATGAATTTTTGTCTATGTTTTGATAACTAGCTGTTGTACCCGTGCTTTTTAACGGCAATAGCACGGGAAATAAATACCTTTTGATCTATAAATGCATTTTATTAAATGTTAACACATCAGCCAATGTTTTGGCCTATTGATTCGTCGGAAAAGAACATACCATATTGCTGATGGATGTCAGGTGCTCAATAATTGCTCTTTGTTGAACAGACATTGGTCTTATAAATATCACCATTGACTATATATACCTACCTGTAGGTATATATAGTCAATGATATCACGCATTTTAAGTTTTTAGTACCGGGGGACTGAGCCTTGCTAGGTTGTGGTTTAAAGTACGTATAATCGTTAAAACCATTTGATAAAAAAATATTTTAAATATGATTTTCAAGAAATGATTTCATTACAATCCAAGACATTTGATTGATAAAAAAATAACGACTCTGTAATACAAGCAATGTAGGCCTATAAGGTATGTAATAAGCAATCAGAATAATCATGTGTTGATGTGTTATTTTATTAATTTTTACATTTATTTATTTATGACAAAAAAAACTGTTATTTATGTAGGTAGGTGCGTGATTAATTTCTTGGCACTTAACGAAATGTTTCTTTAAGTTCAAGTAAGGCCCCTATTAGCCTTGAGCAACATGTGGCGCAGCTACCCTAGTAGCACAAATATGTATTTTATAAATATTTTATATATTTAAAGTTGTATTTGATAGAACCTCGAATAAAATATATAAATAATATATCTTTAATAACAGTTTGATATATTCATATATATATTTAAAATATTACCAAAAAGCAATGCAAAATATAAATTAAATATAAGTTTTGAATATATAAAATAGATTCATAATATATATCAATCAAATAAGTATAGATTCTATAATATACATATTTTATATGTATATTTTTCCTATTAAATATTTAAAAAAATTATGTGTTGAGAATATTTTAAATATATATATATATAATATTTTTGAAACTATATTATATATTTAAAGTATTTATAAATATATTTTGAAAAACGTCATTTATTTTTATTAATAAAATAATAATATATTTGTAGAATATAGGCTATAGCCTCTAATCTTTTATAATTAGCAAATAAATAATTTGCATCTTTTTGTTTTTTATAGTGACTATCAATTTATACATGCATTTTTGTATGATAATTGCTATTGTGAAAGCATTAAAATTAAGTTAATAATAATACGTACTCTGAATGGTGTCACTCTATCATGCACGTAAAGAAAAAATTATGCATATGGTTAAGAGGCAGTATACATGTTCGGCAACTACATTTGGGTCAAACGAAAAAAAAGTGTTGATGGGTTTTATTTTTTTAATTGCATAATGTGACAATGAATGTGATCATAGAAATCTCTAATGATTGGCTAGAAAAGGGTGCTAGCGACTGGCGACCGTTTAAGAAACGAATTACGGAAAACAGATTAACAGAATCATATTATACTGTAGTATCAAAAAATTTTCAAGTATTGCAGCCATTGCAACTGACGGCCGCCCTTTCACAATTTGAAAACAATAGTTAGCAACAGTCACAAGTAGCTCAGAGGTAAGGTAGGAGGCTCATAAGTCGAAGAACCCAGGTTCGAGACCCACCTGGGCTAAAAAAATTTTATCCAGTAATTTATTCAAAATTTGTTTTTTTGAACTATTTAATCAATTTACTCAACTGATAATTGTGTTTTCCATACTAAATCTTCATTATTTTATGTTTTTATGTTTAGGCCTCATGGTATGTTTGGAAGAGATATTAAATACATTTTTTATTTAAATATTATTCACTAAAATATATTATTGGAACCTATTTTTTAAATATTTAATGCATTCAAAAAAATATTTGATATATATATAATATATTTTAAATATTATATAAAATTGACATTAATACACACTTGAGATATATAAAATAGATTTTAAATATATTTATTCATATGTATTTAATATATATTTGTGCTACTAGGGTAGTGGAGCCGCCGGTGTCGGACGTGTAGAGGGCATGGAGTCAAAGGGTGCCTATTAGCCGCGGGGAGACCGGTGGCGCCGCCGAAAAAGCTGCCCGAGGTGTTGCCGGAAGTGAAACTAACACTTGAATACTATAAACAAAATTGAACAAAACACGACATCGACAGTGTACCGGACAGAACTAGACACGAAAACACAGCTTCAAAATTTACAATGTGATGGGAAGTATACTTGGTGTTAGTTAGTCAATGCCACAACCGAGCAAGGCTCGGTCCCCCAGTACTATTGTATGAAGAGGCCTTCACACTGATTCTTGTTTTCGAGTCGAACAGATAGACAGGCAGACAGTGGTCGCCTTTGTTTTAAACTAGATATAGAAAATAGTGTGGCGAAAATACTAGATATAGAAAACTAGATATAGAAAATACGAAGGACGGGTACTCTGCTAGTAATTAATATAGCAATTGAAAGTTCTATAGCAAATAAGTTGTCACAAAAGTAAGTATATTTCATATTTCGTCTATCGTATTACCTTTAATGCGGCCAATGACGATATAGCGATAGTTAGCAACCATAATCAATGGGAGTACAATAAATGTTATGGGCATAAAAGTAAAAAATTGAGTCATTAGAAACCAAAGATCCACATTAATTGTAGGTAACATTTGTAAGTTTATTTGTTGTGAAAAATTAACTACAGCTTTACTATACTTCCACAGTCTACCACTGTAGGCCTACCGTTACTGTAGTTTTGTGGAGGTTCACTTTAGTTATCGAACACAAATGATTCTACATACTGTACAGTCTTCAGCACCTTCCAGTACTAATTCCTGTGTAACACTTATTTTTCTGTTTACTGTTTGGATCCTTCACAGTTCAAAGAGACTTATAACGAAATATCACACTCTTTACAATATCAACAAATTACTGGGCTGCGTATTCTTCATTAAATTTACCTTTACACGAACCCTCTTCTACAATACTTTCATTTTTTTATTTTATACCTACATGGCAGGACAATAAGAGCAAGTAAATTTGCATTTAGACAATTAGACTTCTAATAAATGTTTTTAAATTGTAGAAAATAATATACCTTAAACAAAGATAAATGAATATTAAACTAAAAGATAGTAACGGGTGACTGATCCTTGCTGAGTTTGGTTAATTACATTTAATTTTTAAAGAAATATACTACACAGACATGTTTTATTACAATACAAATATAATTCTATTAAATACCATAGAAATTTCATCGCAGAACTGATAACAACTTGAATAAGGTATGCAATTAAAAAAGGAATATTTTAGATCCTACTCCAGTTTTTTTAAACATTTATCATGCAAAATACGATTATTTTTATAGGTAAGGGGCATAATTTATCTCTCGGTACCACACTAGACTTTTCGTTGATTAGTTGAAGCCGAAAACTGATAAGTCCTATTGGAGCATAAATCTTTTACTGGAAAGATTATTATAATGAAATAATTAATTTCAATAATTATGTAACTAATTAGACCTGTCCATATTTTGTTTCAACAAAAAAAAATAGTGTTTACAATTTGTACAATCTACCATTAAATACGGGTGAAACATTGAGTTGACGCCTGTGCACTCAAACGAAACCAACTGGAAACACATTTATTGAAAATAATTGTTGTGCATTTGATATCAACTACATTTGATACTATTATTTAAACAAATTAAATGCTAAATTGATTCGTTTACGATAGCATACTTTTAATAAGCGGATTTAAAACAATTGCTTTATTTACACAATATTCGTCAATTAATAATCTGAGCCCTATCTATAATTACAGTGCCTTGTGATTCAGAACGCAACCCATATACATCACAGTTACGCAAACAGTATTTGAATAGTAAAGGGAGTTAATGTACAAATGTTGGTCAGTCGAACGCACGGGAATCGAGTAGTCAATTTTTTAAACAGTTTAATTCAGAACAGCTTTTTACACATATAAAGACCAAACAACTATGTCGTATAAGTCAATTCTCATATCTTCAACGATTAAGCGATAGTTTTCAGAACAATAAGTATTTTCAAACATGACTTAAAATTGTTACAACAAAACCTTTTACTTAGGTACACAAATTGAATCTCCAACAAAACTTGATTAGACGCAAATGTTTGATATACAGTTGAACATTTTACATTTCCTGATAAAACACATTCTTTGTAAGGAAAAAATTACATTTCACTTGAATTAGGTTACAGCAGACATTCGCTAGTTGTGGGGAAAACTAAATATAATTTAACGTTACAATTTCAATTTAATTAAATTTGAAACTACCTGTTAGTTACAACAACCGGAAACAACTTAAAATATTTAGCGTTGGTTACTAGTACACTATTACAACTTAATAGTTCAGCTCAAATAAACCACGACAAATTCATTATCTTTTCATTTTTCAAATGATTTATTCCAGATTCTCTTACGGAGTAAACAAAAATTGTCATAAGCTATAAAAATAAGTTATTATTTGTTTAAGACGTTTGCCAGATAATTTAGTATTGTTATTGTCAAGGTTAATACTTAAACCATCTTTTAAGAATAAAAATAAACACGTTATTTTACTTTTGAAAATAAATAGTAAACAATACCAACACTAGCCCTGCATGCCTTCAAAATCCCATATATACATGTATGTATGAATGCGTGTGTATTTAAGTGTGTGTACTTGAAAATACTAATACAAAAATATTAATTAAAATATCAATTAACAAAACAAATAACCATTAACGTTGCTGGTGACGACGTGTGTTTAAACACCTTCAATCTGAGAGACGCAACAGTTCTAGCGTTTTGGAACTTCCGATCTCATTACTAGAGTTTTGGATCTTCCGACCCGGCATATGATCACAAGTTCCAAAGTGAAAAGGACAGTCTATTTCATAAGTTTACTTTAAGAAATAAATTTGTACTTCTAGTTATGACTGTACTTTTGGATCTTACGATTTTGGAACTTCCGATCGGCAATATTTTCTTTGGATCTTTTGATTTTGGATCTTCCGACCCGCTAAATAACCTTTTGAAATTCCGATTTTGGAACATCCGATCGGCAATATAAACGTTGGATCTTACGATTTTGGAACTTCCGATCGGTAATATATTCTTTGGATCTTCCGATTTTGGAACTTTTGAAATACTCCCTTTGCATGCAGCATCCAATTTATTTATGCCTGAATCACCTCTTGTTAATCTCTTCCTTAAATTCGTTCCAGGTCCACAGTACTGATAGACGGGTATGTGAAGTTCAACAGGTAAAATACCCTGTGCCTGTGTACAAGAAGACTGTACTGTGTTCTAACTTAGAAAAATATTAGATGGGGGAGTCTTGACTTTTTTATTCACCCTGTATGGACACAGATAATCTTCTTGAACACAGACACAGGGTATTTTACCTGTAGAGTTTCACATACCCGGCTATCAGTACTGTGGACCTGGAACAAATAACGAAGAGAGGCAACCAAGGGGTGATCCAGGCATACGAGACCGATGTTATTACTAACACAAATCTGTCTGTATTTATGTACTAGACCGATTAACCGGATAACAAGGTGGTAAAAATTATTACCGGTGTAAACATTACTACCGGTTATTATTACCGGTTTGGTAAACATTATTACCAGTGGAAGTGCATTTGCCCAGCTATCATTACTGTGGACCTGGAACTAAATTCGGCGGTAAAAATTGTTACCGGTTGAAGTGCATATGCCCGGGCTATCATTACTTGTAAAGTGCTTGTAACTTACTGTGGACCTGGAAGTAAATTAGGCAGTAAAAATTATTACTGGTTAAAGCGCATATTCCCGGCTATCCATTACTGTGGACCTGGAACTAAATTCGGCGGTAAAGATTATTACAGGTTAAAGTGCATATGCCGGGCTATCAGTTTTGGAACAAAATTCGGCGGTAAACATTATTACCGGTGGAAGTGCATATGCCCGGCTATCATTACTGTGGACCTGGAACTAAATTCGGCGGTAAAGATTATTACAGGTTAAAGTGCATATGCCCAGCTATCATTACTGGGGACCTGGAACAAAATTCGGCGGTAAAAATTATTACTGGTTGAAGTGCATATGTCCGGCTATCATTACTGTGGACCTGGAACAAAATTGAAAAAACGGCCATATATAATACTGTGTATTTGCTTGACTACGGATTTTAAGTAATCCCGACCGGACGTCCGCCACTTTAGTCCAGATGAGCGTACATAGATACAGACAGCTTTGTGTAAGTAAAAAATCGGGAAAAAACTGGTCTTGTACATGGATACAGACAGCTTTATGTTAGCAAAAAAATCGGGGAAAAATCGGATCCATCAAAACCGGATCCAACCCAAGATCCGGAATTTTTTGGATCTGATACGGTGCTGGTTCCAGCTTGAATCCGGCGGATCTGGTTGTCCGATATCCGGATCGGACCATCACAACAAAACAGCAATAAAATAGTTTTTGAAACTGTGAATCATAGACTGATAAAAGAGAAAAATGTCTCCATCCAAATTTAATTTGGAAGAATGATCAAACTAGCATCAGATTAGAGTACAGGAGCAATTATAATTCAATCATAATTAGTTGGGATTGTAGTACACCTTTTTTACCTGCAAACCATTTAAATGATGTAACAAATAGGAAAGGGGTCTTATTATGAGGATTGTTGTTGGGCTAGGATAACAAACTTCCCTGAATGGGAAAGAGTCCAACCTGGCACAAGGAACACAAAAACTGTGCAGTAACTTCCGCTGTATTGACGTGTACAGTTAGTTTTACCTGCATTTCTTGCGTAAGCTCAGGCAATGCAGCTTCTTCAGGTTCTGTATCATCCAATACATAGTCAGTGATCTTGATATGTCTTCTTACTCTGTCGTTGAGAACCTCAAAGAACTTGGCCTCGTTGTGTTTGGAGAAGAGTTCCTTTTTGATCTCCTGCTCTTTGATCTGTCTTTGAGTCTCCCTCTCCTTCTCGCTGTATCTCTCTTGGCTACAGGTTATAAAGATTTAACATTAGAAACAAGAGACAAAGGTTTAAGAATGTTCAATTGTAAATTGAATTTGGTAAGATTTACAGTAGTAAAATCTCGATTCAAACAATTTACAGAAGGGGATTAACAATTCATAAGGTGGGCTACCAGAGAGGCAAAGAAACTGTGAAAAAGGCATAAAAGGGTGTGAAAATTCAACTGTATTGCTTTTAATATGACTTAATGGTAACTAATAATCATCTTGTACTGGCCACTTGAAAATATTAAACATATAAAACTAAATGGTGGAATTTTTATATCAAAGTGTGATTTTGATGTGCTATTGAAATGACAATAAAACTGTAAGAGGCTGAGTTGAAGTTCATCCTGGAGATGAATAGCTGAAACCTCAACCAGTATTTTGCCAGATATAGGCTACAGAGATGTTTCCTCCCGAATACCTAGATTCCACGTGACATTAAAGATAAGTTATTCCCTCAATTTGGTTTTAAATCCTCTGTAAAATAAAATAATTCATCTTTATTGTTATCACCACAGTTTTCTTGCACACAGTAATCAATAAATATATTTACTCAATGTAATTGCTTTTTATTTAAATGCTTGATTGTAAGACCTTCTATATTGTACCACAGAACAGTTTCACATTCAATGGAAAATGAGTGGTTCTACTGCGTTGCACTTTAAACACACAGGAGAAAATTGTCCAAGCAATTGTGAGTAACCAAAGGAGTTTCAAATAATTCATGGAAAGATGCAAAAGGAATAAATAAAATTACCTCTAACCAATACTTTGTATATCTTTCATCAATTAATTGCAGGAAAAAATAAAACTTACAGTTGGGTGATCCATTCAGGAGAAACGAGGCAGTTTTGTGACAGTTTGCGCTCTAATGAGTTTACACAGGGTAGTTTTCTTTCTTCAATGATCTTGACGTCGTCATCATCTGTAAGAGGCTTGTATGGCTTGACAGGGATGTGGTGTTTAGACTGTGACCGCCTCTTAACATGGTCTCCATTGTCATCTCTAGTGAGGTCGACAACGTCCCCACCAGCATCAGCGAGTTTTGATTTTGATGGTCCATAAAATGATGACAATCCATTCCTGCAATTTCACAACAGAAAGAAAATGTAATCAATTGTTTTATAACACACAAACTCCTCTATATTTGTCCATTGTATCTTTTTCCCCCTCATTGCTATATTGTAAGTACAGTAGAACCTCTTTGATCCGAACCCCTGTAATCCGAACGTCCACTAATCCGAACGCCTCATTGCTGTACTCTATACACAGTACAGTAGTTTTTTATTGTATCTATACTTTATTGATATACGCACCGTAGTTATTTCAATTGTAATGTATAGTAGGCCTACTGTTTATTCCTTATGTTTACTACTGTATTAAATAAACACTGTATTTTACTTTATAAAGCATTTTTCACTTTTCCCTAGCTTTGCTATGTAAAAACAACAATATGTTCTGTAATCCGAACTATTCAATAATCCAAACTACCCCCGGTCCCAATTAGTTCGGATTAAAGAGGTTCTACTGTAAATAAAGTTGTCCCAGCTTTTAAAAAACGAATAATGAACTCCTCGCTTACTTAAACTTACAAAATATGTTTGAAGCTTTTAAGTAGTGAGAAACAAATATGAAAACCACTAATGCTACTCAGCAAGTGTAACTCATCACAGCCTCTTTTCTTATAATATTAAGCATTTATTTTACTTATTCCATATTTCCCTCCTGAAAGTGGTTGATAATCTTTCTAACCACGCACCTGTCCACATAAAGCAATGATACATGTCAATGATAGTCTATTCATTATATTCATTCATTATTAGCCAGTATAATTGTCCTTCCTTTGATTTTTCAAAATTTGCCATATAGGGATAAAAGAGTGTACATAATTATTATTTTTCTGACCTAACCTATTTAACTAACCTTTAAGAAAATGTATTATAAATATAAAATATATTATCTGTTAATACTTTAATACTTTTCAATGAAATAGCGACCATACAAAGTAGGTATTTTAAGCCAAGTATGAATGGAGATAAGTGTAGGATGATTGGTACGATCTTGTAGTCTTGTTAGTGACTAAGGCCGACATATCCTTAGAAACAGCTGTTAATTAATAGCCCATACAGCTAATGGCAACTAAGGGACCTACACTTTATAGTGGAATCCGAACCATATTTCTGCCTTGGTATATACGAATTGGTCTAATTATCAGGATAGTACTGTTGATAGTCGTAGTACTCACTCGTGCGGACGTTTATCCACACCAGGGAGTATCACATCCACAGTACATGCCTATAAAAATCCACAATTCACAACCTCCTAGTAGCTGGATTACAGGACGACGCCACCCGTCCGAGTTATCACCCCTCAACGATTATCACGTTTAAAAATATGTACAGATCCCATAAATAGTATTGTTAACAACAAGTCAGTAACTTCGTAATTTATTCCATAGTTGCTAAAACAGTTTCATCCAAAATTATTAAAATAGTAGGATACATTTATCCTGAAATCCCAACATTAAATAATTTTCCAAAAGCCAAAATATAACTTCATACGGTACTGTAGTTGTTTTTCTAAACCACATTTAGCTAATCAATAAAAGGTTACAGTACCTGCAGTCTGCCTTGTGGGTTTTGTTAATCCAGTAGGATTACGCGCGTTTCGACAAATATATTGCCATCTTCAGATCCTAAACTTGAAACATAAAATCTAAATCTTGATTCACGATCTTGATTGCAAGCATCGTCTATCCTGTTCGGTGTTTTAATAGTAGAAGTTTGACCTCTTGAGATTTTAGGTGAGGCTCGGCTGGGCTTGAACACCTCTATGGATGTGTATAGCATTTAATGGGACCTAAGGTTTTTAATCAAGAGGTTGGCGGCCTCTTTTTACCTTGCATTTCCCGGCCACATAGACTAACTGCCCAAGCGTTGAATGTATCTAGCAAAGCAACGGGTGAACCGGTACAGTACGAAAGTGAACTGTACTGATAAAATGTTTGCGGCAGTGACCAGGATCCAAACCCAGGACATCGCTGCCTTGGGTCCCAAATCTGTGATGCTACCAACTGAGCCACCGACTTACCTAGGTTGGGTCTAGGTTGGACATCTAGAGGAGTCAGTTTTGGCGAGAGTAGATATGAGGGGCTCTATAGTAGCAGAATCTACAGAGAAATTACTAAACACAATAAATGATTACACATGTTCTTACGGTCATTTTTAAATGATCAATCTAGTAAAATAATAATAAAGAAACGTTTAAACTTACTGGAGCACACTCTTCTTGATTGAAGTACTAGGACAATCTTGAAACTCGCTTTTGTGGCTTGAATAATTGTTGTACTGTTGTAAAAGCTTTGAATAAGTCATTCTATCTGCATACAAATGAGTCTGAAAGGAATAATTACCTTATAAATAGTAAAAAACAAAACATTTAAAAATAGTTTAGGTTGTAACAAATTTTTATGTAGGGTATCAACAAATTGAATTTGTTGTTCAAGAGAAGTTGGCGGTCATTCTTTGACCATACATTTAGCTCAGTGATAAAGGCCAAAACACAGTGAATGTCGGGACTTTCTCTGGTAAAGCTGAATTTTCTCTTAGTAAGTTAACGTTAATGTTGTGTGTAAAAATCACTATTTGAGAGACATTTTTTTTCAAAATTCCCCGAAAATTCTAATGGAGCTTCCCCCCTTAAGCTTAAAAATGTAGACTTTAGCGCAATTGTATACAACTTTTTAAACCAAAGTTGGTTAAGGTTATATTATTTACAGTTTTATTCCTTCATAAATATTTATTCGTCTCCAAATTTTAATAAATGCTAAAAATGTAAATAATTTAACCTTAACAAACTTTTGGTTAAAAAGTTGTATGCGATTGAGTAAAGGTCTACATTGTTTAGCTTAAAAGGGGGGGGGGGGGTAGGGGGGAAGCTCCATTGGAAATTTCGGGGACTTTTCAGAAAACAATTTTCTCATCAAAGTCAATCACCCTAGGATAAATCAGCTTTACCAAAAAGAGTTCCGACACAAAACCTTTATTGACTGGGCTAATTTCCATATACGTGGTTCTGTGCATGGATTGTAGGCCTATACATAGCAAAGTGCTGTTATGATATAGACCGAGTATACAGTTTACAAAAGTAAAAAATAACCAATAATAGAAAACAATTTAAAGATTACTCTGTGCGGAACACAATTTGTATCATTTTTAAAGATTGAAGAGAATAGTATAATGCATTTATTTATAACACTAATACACTAGCAATAGAGATCATTTGGTGAAAAGTGGCTGTTTCATTTTTTTTTAACAACTCCTTATTAAAACATTGTTTGATAGAATAAGAAATTATGGAAAAGCCAATTGGCTGATTTATGAGTATTACGTACAGCGCGCTAATCTGGACTCTAGCTACAAGGTATCCTATTCAATAGAATTGACACGCTAAGTACCATACAGTAACTGCAAAAATAACACGAATTTGAAATTGGGAAAACAAAAATATTCTTTTGCATATCAAACAAACTTCTCTAGCTCTCTATAAAACTATAAGAACACCTCTAGAGTTGTCAACAAGCACATTTAGGATGGAGTCATTTCATACCTGGTTCAAAGCTGTCACTTTAGGTGTAGATGTCCGCGAAGGTCGTAACTGGCTACTAGCGAAACCATTATAAATCGAAGAGTGAACTCCGTTCTGCTTCTTTTCAGGAACCGAGACATTTATTTCCAGCTTTTTACTGGAATTCGAAAGTCCAACACACATTTCCAGTTGCTTCTTTTCTGTTGACAAAAGAATAACAATTTAGTGTATTAACTTTGGACTTATTTTAAAGATAGGCTATTTTATTCATGACAAATTGGTTTTAAAAACTACTAAACTTACTGTGCTGTAATCTAACTAGGGCCAACACATAAGCTCATTAATGTTCTTATATTATTCTTATAAATTGGCGTGCGTACAGATGTACCTATAGGTCAAAAAGTAAACTTACAATTTTTAGATTGCTCTATTTACATTTACATTATTTACATTTGAGAGTTGTTAATATTCTTTTGATGACAGTCAGTTTAATAAAGCCAGAAAGAGTTTACAAAAAGTTTTACAGTCAAGTGTTTCTTTCTATATAATAATTAACGGTAGGCATGTATCTCTTATGTACAGTGCATTTTTTTTTTTTAGTTTTTGTTCCGATAACTCTCTTTTGGAAAGATTAAAATATTGGCATTAATAGGTACATAAACAGGTAGGCTACTAATGACATTAAAATAGGTTACAGTTCCGGCACCTCATTTTTTACCAATCAAGTACCTACTAAAACATACAAATAATTAAATAATTACACTTTGGATATATTTTACCTTGATTGCTCCTGTGCAAGTGAGGACTAGGTGTTTTTCTTGCTGTCAAGTCAGCATTAAAGTTTCTAGACTTTATCCTTGTAGCCGTGTTTGTGAGAGGTGGTCTTCTCTCCACTGGCTTTTGCTCCTTCAACAAAAACAATCCGATATATAACAGAAATTACATCAATGTACAATATAGTTAAAGAACTTAACTATGTACTAGATAGCACTAGTTGTTAGAGGATAACATTACTTGTAAAGTTAAATAAGGAGACTTTTGCCAACTAACAAAACCTTTAACTTGATTAAAATACAATAGAACCTCAATTAACCAGGGGCGGATCAAGCGGGGTCAATAGATGCCTCTAAAATTAGGTTACCGGTACATAACCTCATTGTCCAAGCATTATTTATTATTTATTATTATTTTATTATTTACTATGCACATTCTTGCTTTTGAAACATCACAGTTCATTTGGAAAATAAAATGTAAGATTGTAAATTTGGAGACATGTAAGAGGAATAATCGATCAATAGCTTCAACGTCAAGCTATCCGCTTGGCGCTTACACTGACAATCGTCTGCTCACACATCTGTCTGCTGTGCGCTTGCTTTGTCACAACAGTTTGTGATTGGGCAATCAGTTACCATGACTACTTTAGTAGCCGGTGATTAGTAACCATGGAAACTGGTTAATGTGTGTATGAAGAGAAAACCAAGAAAAAATAGAACAAAGAGAAAGAATAAGTGATGTTTTTATGTAAATGTTATCTTAATCTTATTTTACAATTATTGTTATTATTATTGTTAAGTACTATGTTTTTATACTTTTTTATGAGTTTTCTAATGTTTGCATTAGTTTCAGTAGCATATGACTAGCAGTAGATACTAGAATTTCTATTAATCTGTTCTTTACAAGTTTTATTGCTGTACAGTGTTTTTTTTCTTAAAAAAAAGTTTGAGTAAGCTGTGATTTTAAACCTTGCAGTTTATACTGCTGAACCAATGAGCACGTTCTGGGAACACTGACAGATAGGGCCGATGCATAAAATGTGTCGTTCTGGGAGACCGGTGAGTTAACATAGCAGACAGGTATTTCCTCTTTTCCTCCACCGGTGCAAGATTTATGCACCAGAGAAATTGTACGGTGCATAATACACCAGCGGCCTCTGATTGGTCAGTTTCTTGGATAACAGTATGCAGCTACGGCAAGATGGCGGGTCCATAGAATAATTTTCATCAATTTGATGGGTTATTTAATGAGTGAATAATTAATTCTATGAGGGGGGTTATATTACTTATTAAGTAAATAGTTTTCAAATAATTTATTCTGTGAGGATAAGTTTGTTTTATTTAAATATTATAAAGTAAATAGTAGGTGGATGTGTAAATTATAATTTGATGTATGTACTGTAAACCAGTGACTAACCGTTCTGGGATACCAAGACTCTTGCCCAGGGACAGTACCGGTGAGTAAGTCACCGGTTCATCTGCACCGGTACATGTTCCCAGAACGTGCCCAATGTTAATGACTTATCATGATTGTAGTGTACTACTAATTGTATTTTAATGATGTAATATCAATATGCAAATTATAACATTAACGTCCATTTAAACAGTTTAAGGCATTTTTATGGATTTTTCAAGTTGGATTAACCGTGGTTTCAGTTGTCCGTGGTCTCCCTCCCCCCCCATTACCCCGGATAATCGAGGTTTTACTGTGTACTACAAATTACGCTGACAAAAAATAACTGTTTATACTTAGTTTCCCTAACTGAAAGAACTAAATATCTTAATCAGTAACAAGGCATGAGAGCTGCCGGTCGGTTGTGGTGCTAGTTGACGGAATAGGTGGGTTAATTTTAAGATGTATATTTTGTTAAAATTAACACATTTCTACTATGTTTGACTACCAGATAACTACTTTAAAAACCGGGTTTTGTTGTTGATTAGATGAGGAAAAACAAGCAAGATTAAAATTTTCATTTAAACCAAATGTTTGAATAAAGATTAAATGAGATTAAAATTTTCAATAATTCTTGGTGCTCAAAGGTTAAGACACACACTCTGGGGTATCAGCATTATATATATACAATTAAAAATATTATGGAGTATGTATTAGCCATTAGGACTTGGCCATTTATAAGTAATTTAAGTGAAGAAAATTGGGCTCAGCTCATTCATAATTGGATTTTAAAAAACAAATTGTAGAAGATGTTAAAAAGCAGTAATAAAGATCTTACATTTTTACTGTCGAGATCGATTACTTCTATGACATCAGGATCATTTTCTTTAACCTCTTGACTCATAACTCTTTGACGAAAGGTTTTCTTCTCAATCCTTATCTGTAACCATAAAAATTATGATAAAAATGAAGTTTTTACCAAAAATAATTTAATGTTCAGTATAAAACACAGTAGAAATCAAGTAAGATGAGCTAATTTAGTGTTGAGATAAGAAAAAGTTTACTCAGAAAAAGTAGGCTAAACTTTTTTATTTGATTCACTGGTATAAATACCTACTCAAAAGAATCATTTCTGTTTTAAACATGTCTTTAAAATGACTCAAATATTTTTATTTTTGACAGTTGTTACAAACTACATATTAGCATCAACAAAAATTTCTCCTAAAACAAATCAAAACAATGTGTTATACTCATAGATAAAATCTAAAAACTAAAGATCATTGTTCTCTTAAAAATTCTTCAACACTGTAACACAGAGTGACAAAATAAGACTCTTAACCCCCTTGCCAAATGTGTCCACACTATTCTCCCTCTTCATGGGAGTGGGCAGTGCATTGAACAGATTAATGCCTTTGTAAAGTAAATGATTTTCAACAAACAGTAGTTTTTTGTTTTGGAATGCCTAAATCGGACCCGGCTTCTCAACCATAGGATATAGGGTGAGAAAGATTTTGAAAAAGGTCAATACTTTTCTTAACATATACAGAAATAGATGGAGGGAAAAGTAAGAATTTTATTGTTAACAAAAGGTGTTTTGCAGGAAAATTTACGATGCTGCTTAAAAACTGTTCTGATGGCTTTCTTTTGTGTAGTTTAAAAACTCTTTTGGAATTTAGACACTCATGTCCCCAAACTGCAACTGCATATGAAAGAAAAGGCAAAACCAGTCCGTAGTAAGCCACCACTAGAACTTTTTTAGAGTACAAACATGTTGCCAAATTTCTTAATAAGAAATTTCTAAAATCATCTGACCAATTGCTTTTGTCCTGAGGTCGTGCACACAACAAGGATACAGACAACGACAATGATGTATCATCTGCAAACAAGCATACCCTACCTTCAGACTCAGGCACACAACTTGGTCATGGATAAAAAGGATGAAAAAGACTGAACCATGCACCGAGCCCTGGGGAATCGCAGCAGTGATTGCCAGGGGAGGTGAAAATGCAGACTTTGAACAGTTGTTGTCATCAATGAAAGGAATTTGAACTGCCGAGTTCTGCCGGTCAGATAAGATTCCATCCAGGAGTGAGCCACACCTCTTATCCCGAGTGAGCAAAGAAGCCGTGATCTACCGTATCGAAGGCTTTGCTAAGATTGAAGAAGATTCCAGCTGCAACCTTTCTTGAATCAAGGGATTGAGTCAAAGATGAGACTAGAAGGTGGATGGCATCGACTGTACTTCTATTTTTTGTGAAGCTAAATTGGTCCGGGGAAAGAATATTGTGTTTATCAATATAAGATATCAGTCTAGAAGGAAAAATATTTTCAAATATCTTCGAAAAAGTTGAAATAAGGGAAATAGGACAATAATTGTTTTATCAATCTTTTTGCCCTTTTTGTGAAGAGGCCTTTTGTGCCCTATTTATCAATGAGGGAGATTTCCTACTGAATTTTAACTAAACACTAAATGAACCTGGTGAATATTAAGATAAAGAAAACTTACAGGAATATTTCTAATGTTTTGAGGCCGACTCAAAGATCTTTCGAAGTTTGTACCTGAAAAAAGAGAAAAACATAAATGCAGACATGGTCATAACGTAATACGTAATAACTAGGTGGCGTTCGCAGAGGCATCCACAAAATTGAGCGGAGTCATCAAGGGTTCATATTATATTGTTTTTGTCTTACTGCAGTAAAAACAGTATTTTTTCATGCATGCGCTGCGGGTTTAAAGTAGCATTTTTAATATTTAGGGAGTAAAAATCGTTTTTAGCCTCTATGGAGTAAAAATCAGCTGTTGTCAACTCAGTTGTAAATTTCGATTGTAAACGATTGCATGTATCGAAAATATGTATCGATTTGTGCTTCGTAATCATTTTAACATATTACAGTCTACAGTCTCTTCCCGTAGCATTTTAGCATTGCAGATACATTAATCCATTCCCAAACTCAACACTGCTCACCTTTACTACTTCCTTCACCACACCCTACGTCGTGGACCTGTTTCCCTCTCTTCCCATAGCATTTTAGGATTGCAGATACATTAATTTAATTGCCAAAGACAGTTCCCACACTCTGCGCTGTTAGCCTTACTACTTCCTTCACCATTTACTACGTCATTGGCCTGTTTCCTTCCTTTCTCATAGCATTTAAGTATTACAAATTCATTTATCCATCTGCTCAAACGGTTCCCCCACTCTGCACTGCCAGCTTTTACTACTTCCTTCACCACTTCGTCGTGGACCTGTATTCATCGCTTTCCATAGCATTTTAGTATTTTAGATACGTTAATCTAATTGCAACAAACATCCCCACTGTCCGTACTGCTAGACTTTACTACTTCTTTCACAATTTCCTATGTCTTGGGCATGCTTCCATCCCTTCTCATAGCATTTCAGCATTGCAGATACATTAAAACTGCTACAAACGGTTTCCAGTTCCCACACTCCACACTGCTCACCTTACTACTTCTTTCACCTGTTTCTACGTCGAGGATCTGTTTCCCTCTCTTCCCATAGCATTTTAAGATTGCAGATACCTGAATCTAATCGTCATAAACAGATCCCACACTCCGAACAGCTCGCCTTTACTACTTCCTTCGCCACTTCCCACATCGCGGACCTGTTTCCCTCCCTTTCCGTAGCATTTTAGGAACGTTGTGACCTTAATCTAATCGTCATAAACAGTTTCCATACTCCAGACTGTTCACCTTTACTACTTCCTTAACCTCTTCATACGTCACGAACCTCAAGCTAGTGTCGTCATTTGATTATAGTACCTGGGGACCGAGCTTTGCTCGGGGAAAATCATTAGTTCACTCTGAAAGCACCGTAGTATTGGAGATGCATAAATCCACACATCTACATCCTACACAATTTCCTACGTCATGGATCTGTTTCCCTCCATTCCATTGCATTTAAAGATTGCAGATACCTTAATCTAATCGTCATAAACAGTTCCCACACTCCGGTCTACTCGCCTTGACTACTTCCTTCACCACTTCCTACGTCGCGGACCTGTTTTCCTCCCTTCCCATAGCATTAGGATTGCAAATACCTTAATCTAATCGTCATAAACAGTTCCCACACTCCGGACAGCTCACCTTGACTACTTCCTTCATCACTTCCTACGTTGCGGACCTGTTTTCCTCCCTTCCCGTAGCATTTTAGGTTTGCTGATACCATAATCTAATTGTCATAAACATTTCCAACACTCCGGACAACTCGCCTAGACTACTTCCTTCACCACTTCCTACGTCGCGGACCTATTTTCCTCCCTTTCCATAGCATTTTAGGATTGCAAATACCTTAATCTAATCATCATAAACAGTTCCCACGCTCCAGACAGCTCGCCTTGACTACTTCCTTCACCACTTCTTACGTCACGGACCTGTTTCCCTCCCTTCCCATAGCATTTTAGGATTGCCCATACCCTTATCTAATCGCCATAAACAGTTCCCTCACTCCTGACAGCTCGCCTTGACTACTTCCTTCACCACTTCCTACGTCACGGACCTGTTTCCCTCCCTTCCCATAGCATTTTAGGATTGCCCATACCCTTATCTAATCGCCATAAACAGTTCCCTCACTCCTGACAGCTCGCCTTGACTACTTCCTTCACCACTTCTTACGTCACGGACCTGTTTCCCTCCCTTCCTATTGCACTTAAAGATTGCAGATACCTTATTCTAATCGTCATAAACAGTTCCCGCACTCCGGACTACTCGCCTTGACTACTTCCTTCACCACTTCCTACGTCGCGGACCTGTTTCCCTCTATTCCCATAGCATTTTATGATTGCCTATACTACTTCCTTCACTACTTCCTACATCACGGACCTGTTTCCTTCCCTTCCCATAGCATTTTAGGATTGCAGATACCTTAATGTATTCGTCATAAACAGATCCTAGACTTCGCACTGCTACCCTTGACTACAATGTATCGAGTAATCTTAAGTATAATCTTTGCTCAATATTAACAAGTGATGTTTTTCCTTTTGTACTGTATTTGTAATTTCCTAGTATACTGTGGGTAGTTGGCTTATTATGAGCACATGCTAAAACTTCAAATCTTTTGTTTACTTTTTACTTGTTATTTAATTCAGCCAACATGGTTACCTAGCAACCCATAAGACTAATGTTAAAAAAATGTGATTTTCAGTTTCATTTTTCTACGGATTCCTGAGAGACTTTTTTAACGCTATATAGATGTTGGCACTCACCGATATGGTCTTTATCACCATGCAAAATTTGAAAACGATTGATTCAGCCGTCTAGGAGGAGTTTGCGTATTACGAAATGCATAAAAGTCGACGTATAAGAGCTTCGCTCGCTTCGCTCGCTCCGCTCAATAAACGTAATACACATTTTTTATAGCCTACTTGTATCGAAAATATTTTTATTAAAAAAAATATTTAGACATAAACAAATTATTAACTTATGATACGGTAATCCTACTCATATTATTACATATGGTAGCCTATATTTAAATTAAGCCTTCTGTTACATAATCATAATTCCCCATATTACCGTGGTTTATAACAGCAGTTCAGCACAGTGCAATTTATTTGGACCCACATAATAAACTTATCCCTAAATACTTGTTTTTCATAATTTATTAAGAAATAAAAACCTATTTATCAATCTTTTTTCCCTTTTAGATTACAGAATATTGGACCTTAAACATTTTATGATTATAGTCCTTACTCTACTATTATTTAAAACATTTTTCATCTTAATTAGAAAGGCAGATTAGACTGGGACGGGTGGCGTCGTCCTGTAATCCAGCTACTAGGAGGTCATGAATTGTGGAAATTTATAGGGATGCACTGTGGATGCGATGCTCCCTGGTGTGGATTCACATCCGCGCTAGTGAGTACTACGACTATCCGCAGGAGGAAAAAATTTGGTTTGGATTCCACAATAAACTGTAGGTCCCTTAGTTGCCATTAGCTGTATGTGCTATTAATTAACAGCTGTGTCTAAGGAACATGTCGGCCTTAGTCACTAACAAGACTACAAGATCGCACCACTCATCCTACACTCATCCTTCACTCATATTTGGGTTAAAATACGCACATAGTGGCGTCCCCATCTTAAATAATTGATAATTGGGCGAACACAAAACTATTAGGCCTAAATACAATTTAAACCTTTTTGGGACAAACTTAAAATAAATAGAACTTGTTATAAAATAATAATTGTAATAGACTGAAATAAAGTATTTAATTTGAATTAAAAAATAGCTGATTCCCTATAAGGGAAATTTGCTAAAAAAGATAAATTGGTTCCACTAAAGACTTACCATCAGACATTGGGTTTTTATTTGTTATGACTGGTGTTGTCATGAACTTAGTTCTTTTGCTGGAACTTTGAAAGTTCAAAAATATATCTTCATCTTCTTCTTCAGCAACACTATCTCTGTAGACATTAAACGTTATTAGACACTTATGTTTATAGGCCTACTGCCTCCTGCTACTTCATAGGTTAATTTCAACTCTATCTTAAAAATGTTTCATTACTAATTTACCAAACAAAAAAAAAAACATAGCCAAGTTAGTTGTTTAATTTTTAAATGTTAATATAAAAGCAAATTAACTATTTTTTGGTCAAGTCTAGGTAGGCCTAAAGAAATTACGGAAAAAGGTTTATTTATCTGGCAACAATATATTTTAATGGATTAATTGATTAAACCTAAACTTCAAACTTTCTCTATGGTTTTTCTGAGTTAGTTCAAAATCATCTAGCTAGGCTACCAACATAGGTAGGCCTAGGTTAAGTTATACCTAAATAAGGATGTCCTATATAGGCAACTTGTATATCAAAATATACGGTAGGCCATTTGCAATATACGTTTTTTTTCATACAATTAAAAAAAGAGTAACTTTAAGAGCCTTAAATACAGCTTAAAAAAGCCAATACATTTAGGTCTATAGGCTTACAATGTACAGATGATTTAACTTATACCGGTATGTGAACAAAACTTAAAACTTAGTTTTATCCTAGGCCTAAGTACTTTTAAGTTAACATATTTGAAATCAATCAAAACTACATACCCATTAAACTTATTCCAAAATAATGATGCCTTTTTGACTGATATGGTTGTTTTTGCCATTTGACTAGTCTTTACCCCATTTTAACGATACTTCAATAAGTCAAACTTATGCTATGTCAAACTTTGTTGGCTGGTTAGACAATATTTCCTTTAATACCTAGAAACGAATATTGTTGTTTAGAATCGAAAATATTTTATCAAATAAGTTAATAATCTTGTGGATTAAGCACATATAGTCATAGTCAATGGCGGTAGGGTACCGGTACCGGTAAGATGTAATTTGTGTCATTTGAATCCTGTGTCTGATGATGACTAGAGTCCCGATATTGATCACCAAGTTTAACTTAAATTACCTACCGTCTTTCATGTGTATAAAACCCTCTTGTGAAAAACAGTAGGTAGGCTACAAGTGTAAAAAAGCTTAATAGGAAGTGGGCCAGACCAACAGTTGACTGGGGGGGGGGGGGGGAGTTTTCAGGCTAAACAAAATGTTAAAAGACAGGTTAGGTTGGGTAATAAGTACAAGTACACAAATTATCCCTCCTCTAGTGTCTCTAGTTTTGGTCTTAATGTTCGCCCATTTATTGCGCAATCGCAGCGTTTGATTAAAATGTATCTTAGAAACTTAAAAACAATGTAAAGTATACTGTTTTATATATCATTTTGTTTGGAAAATTATGGGCTTTAATGTAACATATAAAATATTAACTTACAAAGAAATGTTCAACAATTTTTGTGGGGTTAACATTTCTCAAAAATTATAAAATAAATTAACAAAATTATGTTTGCGCTCAATAAATTGCTATAATTTATAGGTCTACAAATATTTTAAAATGGCCACTTTATTCAGAATTTTATGAGGATTCCAAAAATATAATAATATAAGGAAGTAGGTTTGCAAATAAATAAGTAATGGGCAAAAAACTGATTTCGGTACATAGCGTTTAGCTAAGAATGCATAGCCTAACCATAGCTAGGAATCTGGCTGATAATTTACATCAATATCACTACCTACTTCTTCAGGATCATCAACCAGCCCTTCAAAATCACTTAAATCTTCTTATAATGCACCACGTATATCACTACTTTTGATTTTTAACACTAAAACAATGATAAACGCAATAAAACACATCAGTCTTCGGTGCGAGGTTAACCAAGCTGTTGACAAATACGCACGTCAGCTGTCTGAACAATATTTTCGGAACTAAAATGAAAAGCGTATAGAAACAGACATCAGGAGAAAGCTTTGAATCTGCTGTAACAAACGATACATAACTCGATCCAGTTCAATCCGATTCCATCAGTCCCAGAGCTGTCGCCATAAACAGTGTTTGAGTGTCGCAAAAGCGACACATAACACAACAGCGGATGTGTTATGAGTCGCTTTTACGACACATAACACTCGGAGGGTTAAAGTGAAGTGATAGAGGACATGTTCACGCATTTACCAGAAGACCAACATCGTAACCAAGGAACGAATTTGAGTCTTTAGAGACTATATGTGTATCATTGTTCTCGGACCTAACCTATTGTCCCAGAATATTGCCATCGAAATAGATTTTGGCACGAGCGCTTCATGATTTATCTTTAATGACTATCAAGCATTCCTGAGATACGACGTCAATAGGCTACTCTGCTTTGCGTAGAAATGTCCTTTAATTATCACACATCACTACATCAGTGACATTTTTGTCACTCTCCAGTAAATTGAATGTCAGCTTAGGGTCCCACAGGGTTCAATCTTTGAGCTTGTTCTCTTCCTGATTTTTATAAATGACTTTTTTGTACCTTGGAAGTGATGACTGTTTACAGCCGATTCATCTATAGCTATCTGGTGCAGGTCAAGGAAAATATAGATAGGCTAACCTCAGCTGCAGAAACCAACTGCACAAAATACGAGAAAAGGAGGAAATCTGAACCTTCCATTCTGCAGGCTGAGGAAGCAAAAAAAATGATAGGTATCCTGTCCTTGGCATTAGACTCTAGTTAACCACCTGTACCAGGACATAAAGTCATTCCCTATATTATATCCTGTACATCAGCTGATAATAGTAAATTATGAATGCAAAACAAACAAAGTAAGACTTCAGTTAGAGTTACTACATCTTTACATTATGATCCAAAGTACCATGAACCATGGCCAAACTCCAATATTCCTTGGGAAAGGGTGCACATTCATCATGCAGGACCATTCAGAGGTACATACTTTTTCATAGCAGTAGATTCATATTATACAAAGTGGTTGGAAGTAAAGGAAACAAAAAGCATATCTAGTTTCTCCACTATAAGAATCTTAAGAGAAATGTTTGCAAGATTCGGCATTCCAAGTACAATTGTTAGTGATAATGGTCCTGCGTTCATTTCACATGAATTTAAACATTTTATGGAATCCAATGGTATCCAACATAAACTGATAACACCATATCACCCAGCTTCAAATGGACAAGGGGAATGTTATGTACAAACTCTAAAAAGGAAACTAAGTGCAATGGCTGAAGAATCTGGAGACATCCATACAAACCTATGTAGATTCCTTCTACAAACCCGTAAAGTTATGAACATAAGCACCGGAAGAAGCCCTGCGGAGATGATGTTCAAAAGGTGTATACGTACGAGAATTGATCTGCTAATGGCAAAAACGATCTCTGACACAGAAGGCGTTGGTACCTTAAGATGTTTTAGCACCGGCGATAACGTTCAAGTTCAAGACTACAGAAGTAATCATCCTAAATGGAAATTTGGTAAGGTGGTCAAAATATTAGGAAACTGCCATTATGAAGTTGAAGTTGAAGGTTTAATGGTTAAATGCCATGTTGATCAAATGCGCTCTACACTAGTATCTTTAAATGAACAGTCCGACGAAGCCTCAGAGTCTGAGTCACAGAAACATGCACAAGTGGTAAACAAACCAAATGACTCTCCCTCAAGCATCACACAGGACAAAGAAATTTTATCCATCATCTGTAATAAGATGATCTCAGAGAATACTGAAGAGGCAATAAACTGATTCTTTTCCAGGGAAGATTATTATATCCTGTACATCAGCTGATAATATTAAATTAAATGTTCTTTGTTTATTATGAATGCAAAACAAACAAAGTAAGACTTCAGTTAGAGTTACTACATCTTTACATTATGATCCTTGTTAAATTTGTTAAATAAATAACTGTTATTAAAGTTGGTGTTTAATATAAAATACCCTATTAAAGAATGTTTTTATGAAAGTAAAGGAACTACTGAAGGTGCGCTTCTGTAGCCTACTCCATCAAGGAATACTTTAGAGGAAAACGATGAATGGACCTTGTAACTACAGCCAAGTTAACCGCTATGACTCTTTGGCCTCGATGAAATCTAACCAGCCATTACTGGTCAATGATGGAAAAATGGTATAAAGGAAGGCCTATATGTATTTTACGCTTTGCGGGCCTATTGTACCGAAATAGGACCAATATTAGACATCATAAGGTGCACTGGCGCACATTCCACTATTTATTGGTGAATTATTGGCAGATTCACATCAATAAATTTCTTAAGACCTGAGTTTACTTAAGCCTAACAATTAATTTAGAGTAAGTAAGTATGCTATGAAACCATATCTGATGGTTTGATAGCATGACCAAAGTGCTAACTTACTAGGACTTAAATAGGAAATTACCGGTAAGTCTTAGGCCTATGCGTATTAAAGTGACCATGGTAATATACCTATATAGTAATTTATACAGGGTTGGGCAAAAGTCTGGAACCCCCCAGTTAACTTTTTAACGCGTTGCAGTCAAGAAAACCAAACTCGGCACACATTTACAACACAAGAAATTGCAATTTTTCATCAAAGTTACAACTTTGCCCCAAATTTTCAAATGTTATCAAGAGAAATTGAATGTCGCAAACCAGAGGTCCTTATCGTGCCCTAATCAAAATGGTAGCCATTTTAATTTAAGATGGGTAAGCAAGATAAAGTCTGGACACCCCCAGTTAACTTTATAACGTTTACTACATTAAAAAATGCACTTTTTAATTAAAATTAGAACTTGTACCCGGCCCCCAAAATGGGGTATTTTGGGGGCAGCCCCAAATTTTCAAATGCAAATACCGATCATGTGACCCCTCATTTTAAAGGATTTTTCAAGACAAATTAAATGGCGCAAACTAGAGGTCAATATCGCACCCCTAATCAATATGGCAGTCATTTTGAAATAACCCCTATTAACTTTTTAACAGGTTTATAGCAGGAAAACTAAACTCAGCATACCTTTATAAAAAAAGAGAATTCACCTTTTGGTCAGTATTAAAATATTACATTTTTAAAGTTAACTGGGGGTGTCCAGACTTTAGGCCTATCTTATTTGCTCATCTTAAATAATTAAAATGGCTGCCATTTTGCTTAGGGGTGCGATATTGACTCCTGGTTCGCAGCATTCAATTTCTATTGGTAAACCCTTTAAAATGAGGGGTCACATGATAGGTGTTTCCATTTGAAAATTTGGGGCTGCCCCCAAAATACCCCATTTTGGGGGCTGGGGCAAAGTTGTAACTTTGATGAAAAAGTGCAATTCCTTATGTTGTAAATATGTGCCGAGTTTGGTTTTCCTACTGCAACGCGTTAAAAAGTTAACTGGGGGGTTCCAGACTTTTGCCTGACCTTTGTATATCAATAGAAACTAACTTAGATTTTTACCTGAAAACAATGGCGCAAAGATTTTTCTGCTGTGGCAAAAACTGAAAAACTACAATCGTTTGAATTTTATTCTACTAATACGTTCTTATTTAGACATGTGAGGTAGGTAGGTCGGGTTTTATGTGGATTTGTGAAAGACCATAGGTGTCCTTTGAAGGTAGGATAGGTAGGCCCTAGGCTTAGATTAGGAACGTAAAGTTTAGGTTATATTATGATGAATCGAGTTGTTGTTATCTCCAGACTGTTTTTCCACTATTGAAATAGGCCTAGTGGTTTAAACACAATAAATAATTTCAAAAATGCAAGCATGATTCCATAGTCTCTTAGGCCAAATTAAGTAGGCCTAGTAGTGATGGGATAATCAAACACATTTGAGAATTTGAATAAATTTGTTCGAATAATTTTATAGCAACATGGTGTATACTTAAATAAACCAATTGGCCTATGGCAATTTCAATTTTCCCAAGTCTAGTTTTGTAAATCAAAGCATTGTTGCCATTCATGTATAAATACATTTAAATGAATATAAATGTAGTTCAGTTCTACTCTAACATAAAATAGGTTATATTTTAAACAAACTAACTTATAAACCCAAATGAAATAGATGATTGTTCACTCTCATTCAATTAGGTAATGAATCATTTAATATTGTGAAATAACTAGACAAAAGTATTCATTACAATTATAGATTTAATGAGAAGTGAATTTCAACTTTAAAACAGTATGATTCATTACTAGGTTAATTGAATTATCTAAATATATAAAAGGCAAAGCCCTCACTGACTCACTCACTCACTCATCACTAATTCTCCCACTTCCCATTTACCTAGGAGGCTGAAATTCGGTACTACACCGATTCTTTGGGCATTAAATAGGAAAACTAAATAGTTTTTATTCTGATCGGGCTTTCGGGCTCCGCCCCAGTGGCTCTGGAGTTTCCCATGTTAACCTTATGATTTTTCATATTTAAAAGGAATTAATGAATCTTAACAGCTATTTCAATTAAACAAGTTGGTTCTGTTTTATGATGTTCAATAGCATTAAAGTTACAAGGATTACCAACAGGGTGCAGCACTATTATTTTTTTAAATTTCTGACTACAGCCAATTTGCAACCAAAAGGTGAGTGAGCGTAGCGAACGAACTTCAACCTGAAAGTGAGTTAGCGTAGCGAACGAGCTAACCTGAAGGCAAGTGAGCGGAGCGATCGAGCTCCAACCTAAAGGTGAGTGAGCGTAGCGAACGAACTTCAACCAGGACGTGATTGAGCCATGCGAACGGGCTCACTTGTGAAGTTAAACGGGCCAAAGCCCGCAGGTACAGCTAGTTTTATGGCTGCACTTTACTTGACGTCCTACACTCATTCGATTGTTTTTTCGATTCGATATTTTCATTCGATTGTAAAGTGCAGCCAGTTTTATATAAAAAGTAATTAATAATGCTGGTAAGTGTCCAAATTTAACACCCATTTTAAGTTAATGAGACAGTTAATTGATCCCTCCTGAGTTGGGTACAGTAAAGGTTCCATTTTAAGTACGTAACCTTAAAAGTTGTTGTTCAAGTTGTCAATTAGTATATATTCAAACTCAGAACACATCGGCCGAATTTGAATTCATTTATTCTGGCTATTCAAACTAGCCTAGATTGATTTAATTTTATTGATACCGGCCGAATGTCAGTACCTAAGTATTCAAATAGGTACAGCCAGAAGTATTCGAATCTTTGAATACCTTGGTCGTATTCGAATAACTTAGGTAACTTGAGTATTCGATTATGTATTCGAATGCCCTATCACTAAGGCCTACCTTAAGTTACCGGTAGGCCTACTTGACGATTTTACCAGTCGAATTACGGGTTGTTAATGAAATTATTTAGGCCTAACCTACTTTAAAATTAGTATAACTTACATAACTTAACAATCAATCATTCAATCAATAAATATGACTTGGGCTATTAAACTTAGATTTTAGAGTGTAACTTAAATATTGAAGTGCAGATCAACAATTTGAAAATTTGAATTTGAAGCTGAACATCACTAAGTTAATAGGCCTAAGTTAGGCCTACACCGGCTGCACTTTACTTTAGGTCCTACACTCATTCGAATAAAAATACATTAGCCTATCGATCGATATATCGATTGTTTCATTCGATATACATTATCGTTTGGTTAGTTAGGTAAGGTTAACCTAACCTAACTAACCAAATGATATATCGAATGAAACAATCGAATAATCAATATTTTCATTCGAATGAGTGTAGGACCTAAAGTTAAGTCAGCCCCTACACCATTTAAAAAATTGAAATGATTGGTGTACTTAGGGCCTATAAGGAATTTTTTTCACAGCAGAAAGATTTTTGTACCTTTGTTTTCAGGTAAAAATCTAGGCCTAGTTTCTAACGATATATCAAATAAAGGTTCCCACGGTCACCTTAATATAAGTTAATTATTTTTAGGTAGGCCAACGCCTAGGCCTACCTCATCAAAGCAAAGCCTAACTTAGGCTACACTGAAACATTTGGGCTGCACTTTATTTTACGTCCTAGCCTACACTCATTCAAATGAAGAATATCGATATAGGCCTAGGCCTAACTTATAACTTAGACTAGCCTATTCGATATATCGATTACTTCATTCGGTTAAGTTAATCTAACTTGATATTCCGAATAAAATAATCGATATATTGATTTGAATGAGTGTAGGCTAGGACGTTTACGAACACTTTAACTTAGTTTACAAACTAAAGTGCAGCCATCATTTGTTTCGATAAATGCAGATTCTGGGAATAAATCTATAACATAAAGAAGGTTATTACGGCTCTAGTAACAACTAGCCAAATACTAAGCTTAGCATTTTAATTATTTCATGAATAGGTATAGGCTAACCTAGCCTAGTTAAAATATTTGGGTAGGCTACCTTCGACGCTTCAAAGCTTGCGATGGCCAAAGTGTTGTCTTTAACCACTGAAACACACCGGCTAAAATTGACATACTTGTTCACCATTAATTAAATAGTACTTAAAGATTTAAAATAAAAATGTATACGGTACTATACTAAGTTTGTCACAAACAACGGATGACTGAAAAACTAAGTTGAGATTTCCACACGGACACGCACAACACGACCATAAAAATAATCCCCACGACGGCCAAAAAAAATCCCGTTTAATCCCGCTTTTAAATTGTGAAAAATCCCATTTTTTCCCTATTAATTTTTTATTGTACAATCCCTCCTCTCTCTCTCCAGTCACTCCTTAAGTATAATATTTGACGTATCATGTTTAAAAACTTGTTTAGACATTACTATTATATTTTCTACAGTATTTTATTTAATTGGAGTTCGTTTTTCGCTAAAATTAAGTAGAAAAAATAAAAAATAGTCATCACAGCTAAAAATCCCGTTTTATCCCGCATCCCCTTTTAATCCCGCTAAAGGTCTAAAAGTCCCGTTTTGGGGATAATAATCCCACGAATGGAAAAACTGTTTGAGAAGCTAAGTTAGCTCAGTTCGATGCAATGAGCATACCCCCGCCGCAGCAAACCTGCAGACTAAGCAAATTTTAACTTGTCTGATTACATTTTTACTAAAATATTTCCATAAATAAGACATATTTATTCCCTATTTAAATAACATTAGACTTAACGACTGCTTAGGTTTGCTGCTATGGGGAAAGTTAAAAGTGTTTTTGACCATAAGTCAATAGTATAGGATGAAATAAATAAATTTGCCAAATTTTATCAATATATATCCATAAACAAGCAAACTACAACAATTTTCATTTTCTCCATAAGAATAACATGGGAGTTTTAAATTACACTATTTTTGAATTTTCTCCGTGACCATTAGGCATACAACAGCGCTTCAATATACTAAATTATTTCTTTTTTTAAGCTCTACAAAATGGTTTGAAAAGAAATTGGAAATCTTTTTGTTTTTAGGGTAAAAAATGGGAAAACTCCATTTTTATCCTATAAAACCCCCCATAAACCCTCGTCCCCGTGGCCCGATTATGCTGGATCGCGAACTCGTTCGAATAAACGTAGGTTTACACGTTTGTACCAAATTTCATCAAAATCGGACCATTTTGCTAATTTGCAACCAAAAGGTGAGCGAGCGTAGCGAACGAACGAGCTCCAACCTAAAGGTGAGTGAGCGTAGCGAACGAACTTCAACCAGGACGTGATTGAACCATGTGATCGAGGTCATCTTGAAAATGAACGAGAATTTGACATAAAACCACATTAGGACAGGACGACGTCTGTCGGGCCAGCTAGTTTCATATAAATTTCTAAAAGCTTATTCATATATTATAATTAGTTTTTGATAAACTACCAAGTTAATCCAGGAAGTAAGGAACTTATATGGGAAGTGTAAATAATTATATTCTGGTTGTAGTTTTAATTTACAATAGTTTATTATATTTATACACAGATAGCATTATTTTATTAATTATTACTGACCAAGAAATGTGATTGTTTTGTTGAGATGGCTTCTGATTCTGCTTGTGTGGATCTGATCATTATAAATTCCTTGCTAAAATGATGTAATCTTGCAGTAAAATATATCTTGCATATATATTTGAGTAGTAAATTGTGGTGATTTTGGTCGGTTTCTTGTAAAAAAAAAATGGTCCCCGGAAAAAAGTGGCATCCATATAAACTGTGCCATAACAGTAGTCAGTGGTAATTTTCTTTAGTACCGGTACATTTATGTCGTTGGGAATATTTCTGTCGTCTATATTGATTTTATTCCTAAAAACAAGTTTAGTTTCCTAAAAACCACAATTTTGCGTTATTAGTTTATGTTAACCTAAATAATTCACTGTTCAAACTAAGCTAAATGACTAAATAAAACGAAATCAATACAAAATATGTCAACTATCACCATTCAACTCTACAGATTACACCTTACTACGGTTATAATTGTTTAAAAATACAGGATTTACAACAAATACTGTATATCTGTATGGGCGTTTATACGACGTGCGTTTATACAGTACAGTGGATTGACGGATTGCACCACCGTGGTTCGGCGCTCGCTAGTGTGGTGACTTATGCTTTCGACCGCCATCTTGGCTGGGTCGCGGCGCTCTGGACTGGCGACACTCCGCTGTACTGCGCTTATTGAAGCGTGTCCTCTCTATTTATTTATATTATGTGCTCGTTGGTTTTGGTTCGATGTGATGGATCCTATGATCATTCGATCATTCATTGATCACTTCACTGATCAAGAAGAAGACAAGACAATGTCAAGCCGAAGCCACAGACTAGGGAATAAAAGTTTTAGTTATTTTATTATTATAGCTCAGTGATGAGGAGGGGCTCTTAAGGAATCAGCGTAGATTAAAGATATTTCAAACGTGTAAGTACGCCTACTGTTGATGGGAAGAGGGGGTTTTTTAATTACTCCATTTAGTTTAAAGCAATATAGACAACAAACGTTTCGCCAATAAATGGGATACCTATCAATAACTAAGCCTACAAGTATAGATTCTGACAGTAGGTAACTTGGTACTAAAAATAACAATTAATTCAAATCAAATCGTTTTACAGAAAATATATTTACAACATTGGCATGTGGATAGGTGGATCAGTCAGAAAAATCTGGGAAAATGTCTTCAAAAAATTCTTTTAGGGAGTAGTAGAAGGCTCTTGACTTGAGTAGAGGGACCAGCTTCCTTAAGAAAAGCTTACGCTCAAGCTGTTTGATAGAGTTGGGCAGCTTGTTATAGATTTGTAAATTGCTCCTGCTTCTGGGATCTCACCAGCCTAACCCTGGGCACATCAAGCAACCCGTGCTGCCTAGTTTGGTGGTCATGAACCGCTGAACGAAGTTGAAACTTGTCGCAGTGGTCATGGATCAGCAGTAAGCATACGAGGATGCAATTGTTATAAACCGTGAATATCCCCAGCCTTGCAAATATGGGTTCGCAGTGGGCAAGGCGGTCAATAAAATGAAATATATCTTACAACACGTACTGGATTACTAATATATCTTTAACATCAGCGGCATGACCCCAAAGTAGTAGGCCATAACTCACATGACAGTGATGGAACATGGCATGATAGATGTTAAGCAGGTGTTCAGTAATAAAATATCGCAGCTTGAGACAGCACACCCTAGAAAGTTTGCTGCGAACATTGCCTATGTGATTGTTCCACGCCCATTTCATGTCCAGATGAAATCCAAGGAGCTTAACTGGTTCATTAGGTGGGGCATTTCTTGACAGACTGCAGACCAGAGTGTCTGGGTTTTATCATGGTTGAGCTGAAAACCACTTTCTTCAAACCAGTGGGATGCTACGGAGAGATGTTGGTTGGCATCTGCAGTGGACAGCTCAACTTGGGTCCCCCGTGACACCAGGGTTGTATTGTCGGCAAAAAGCACAACCCCTCCATCTCTATCAAGGTCATTGCTGATAATTACCAGGAATAAAAACGGACCTACAATATTGATCCCTGAGGGACACCATACCTGACACTCTTGGGCTTGGATGCTACACCCTCCACAGAGACAACCTGGTGCCTTAACCAGCCAGATAGGAGTCAATCGTCTTCAGTGCCATGCTGTATACTCCCAAACTCCTCAATTTCCCATGCAGAAGATTGTGGTTAACACAATTGAAAGCACGACTCAAGCCACACATCGTGAGAGTCACCGTGTCACCAGCCTCGAATGCCTCACCAACCAATTCGGTCAACTTCTTAATCGCACCAGTGGTGGACCTCCCTTTTCTGAAACAATACTGCCCATCTGATATCTGTCTATCTCCAAATACTGTGTCAGTTGGACTGATATTATGCTGGCTTCAATAACTTTTCCCGAGAAAAGGCACTATGGAAACCTAGGCCTGTAACTGGCAAGAGATTCTCGATCGTCCTTTTTTTAGACTGGCACAGAGTCCTTAAGGTCTTAAAGGCATTGGGGGAAAATACCATTTTCCAAGGAATCATTAATAACTAATTAATAATCTCCAAATACTGTGTCAGTTGGACTGATATCATGGCTTCAATAACTTTTCCCGAGAAAAGGCACTATGGAAACCTACGCCTGTAACTGGCAAGAGATTCTCGATCGTCCCTTTTTTTAGACTGGCACAGAGTCCTTAAGGTCTTAAAGGCATTGGGGGAAAATACCATTTTCCAAGGAATCATTAATAACAGTGGCCAGAGGGGCTGATATGACATCAGTAATGTTCTTTAGCTAAGATAAAGACATTCCATAAAAATCTGGACTGTTAGAGTTTTTAAATGTTGAGACAATGCGCAAAATCTCTGCTGAAGAGGTAGGTTGCCAATGATGCAGGGTAGAAGTATGCAAGTCCCTTCCGGCCTCCTGCTGGATGTCTCTAACAGGTCCTAGGCTAGTAACAATAAACAATGTTGTTCACAGACTCAATAAAAAAATCATTAAAATCATCAGGGGTGGAAGGTAGCTGATGACAGCTGGTAGTTGACCTCACCACATCCCATGCAGCCTTGCATTGATTTTTAGCTGATTTAATCATACTAGTGTCCCTGTTGCTCGAATTCGAGCAATTGCTGAGTATTACAGGCATTATTTTAAAACGAATAACAGTCATAATTTCTTATGACTTTAAAAGTTTCGACTCAAAGATTATGGAAATACTCAAGATGTACATAACAGATTATATCAATAATTTATCAAGGCTCTCTATCTTTTTTCCATTGTTTTATCTATGGTAATATTTACACCCCAAGTTCAAATAAACTGTTAAATTAGCAATCTTATTGGCTGTTTTCAATTAACATAATATGTTCTTTTTCTCTTCTCACTTTTAATTTCTGACAACAGCTGGAGTTTCATAACAATTTTTGTTTCCCATGTTAATCTTATGGAGAAATACGAAACTTTAAAGGACTCCAGGGCCTCACTCTTTAATTATTTCCATAAAAAGAAAGTTTCCTGCACAACTTCACGTTACGCTCTCTCCAATGACACCAAAAACATGTCAATCGGTTCAGTAGTTTTGGAGGAGTAATTGTCACAAAAATCCTGCTTGCGTATTAAATAAGTATAGATTCACATTACCTTCTTTTTTAGCCTCGATAATACGTGTTTTATAGGCTTGTTTTATGTTATGGTAACCTTTTCTGTCACTGTCAGATTTGGACAACATATACCTATCTTTCAAAGCAAGCATCGAACACTTAAACTTGGCTAGGTGGCTGAGCTCTGGCGTAATTAAACCAATCGGAATTTGCACTTATCCTAATCTGACTTGTTTTTTTGGGTTTGATAATGGCTTAGCTGACCTTACAATTGAAAGGAAAAACACATCTAAAACATACCTTAAATTCACAAAAAATGCTTCAAATAATGCATGCCACCCAGGAGAAGTATCTAACCACGATGTTACCTAGGGCTGCTCTGAATAAATCCAACTTATCAATATCTATTCTTACACCATAGAATGTATAGTTAGTACGCCAAGAAAAGAAGGGACTTATTAGTATACAGCAATTACTAATTCTAATATTAGTAATATTTACAACAATTACATATTAGAGCTTTCAGAACATTTTTGAGGAATTCTTTGACGCTGTAAGAGGTTATACATATACTTAGCAATTTATGTTTTAACTGTTTTTTGAATTTTGAAAGGCTTGGTTCTAACGGGATAGCTTTTATGCCATACGTACAATGTGTGTTAAAAAAAATATTTTTTTGATTTGGAAAGTTAAATGAATTGCGCATAATGTGTATATTGGTTTGTAGTAGAGAAGTAAATCAGAAATGTTTTGTTTTAAAAAGGTCAAAGAATCTAGAATGTATAGATGGAGGGAAAAGTCAAGATTTTTGTATTGAAAAACTCTCTGCAGGAATGACGCTTACGCAAAGGGAAAATAGTTCTCATCTCATATTAGTTGTGCCTAGGGTGCTAACCAGGGTCAAAAATGGGCATGAACAGTAATCGTATTCTAAGAAAAAGCTTTGACAAAAAGTTAGTGTCACCAGCAGTATTCGATTGGATGTGTATAATACCTCGTGAACACCAGACGGGACGAGACGAGTTTCTAATTAATTTGTTGGCGTTGGCACCCCCCAAAAAACCAATTGCCCCACACCCTAACCCTAGTTACGTGCCTACCGTGCCTTTTCGGTAGTTCTTCTTAACTGTACAGTACATCTTTTGTTAGAATTTGAGGCATTAATTATAATTTTATTTTATGAACAGAACTATTTTTTCGATTAGTAAATCTTTATTAGATTTTTATCTTAAACATTACTATATCTTTTATGTCGGCAAGTTTGGTCAGTTAGGTTAGGTTATGACAGTTAAAAATTATAAAATTAACTTTATAATAAAAAAAAATTAGTTTATGATTTTTCTTAAAACGTCGTGACGTAAGGGGCTCTCCCACAATCCTCCACTCTCCTTCGCAGAAGAGGTTCTCATCGGTTTCTGCAGGACCCTGAGTCAGTTGTCAGTTCCACTGAGCTATAATTCTAAACCGGAGGTAGCACTGAATGTCAAAGATGCGTGTCGCCAGCCGCCATGTTTGCGTGAGGTGGGTGTCCATAAGAAGCCATGTTATTGCTATGACAAAAAAACTCACTGCTATACAACCTAGTTATAAGAAGCCATGTTATTGCTATGGTAAGAAAACTTACTGCTATACCAACCTAACAAAATCAGCGACTCGCTTTTGACAGACTTCTGCCATGGCAGTGCTACCTCCGGTTCCGGTTAGAATTATAGCTATAGCTCAGTGGTCAGTTCAGAGTTCTGTTCTCAGTTTCAGTTCCTTCAATCACTACGACTACAGTTCAATCTCAATGTTCGATCTCGCTCGATCCTTCAGTGTTTGTCGTTGTCGTAATACGTAATGTCATTATACCGCCAAAAGCTAGCAATTAAATGTAATTGTTGACATTGTTGTATAGAATCCGAATCTCATTTTATAAGGCTACTCGTAACTTAATCCACCAGAATTCAGAATCTTGTGATAAGTGGTAAGGTAAGCAGTTTTCATGATACGGTAGCTTAAATTTATGGACCATAAAAAAATAATAAAAAATACACAAGTTAGTGTATGCAGTTTGGTAGTTTTCTAAACTTCCAGACTAAGAGACAAGTAGGCTAACCTAACTTTGTTAATTGCATCTGACATTTAAGTCCTAATTTTATAAAAAAATAAATCTGTTTGATTGGTTTTAAATGCTTTAACTTGATTCTATAAACAATTTTACAGATTCCAATGCTTCTATACATTTCAGTAGGCTATACATGTCTTATATGTTAGATTAAAGAGTAGAATGCTAGTAAGTTAGCCTATGCAGGGGCCACTTAAGTAAATGGGCCAGGGCCTGGCCCAGGGGCATGATTGGGTTTAGGTTTGGGGGAGCAAGAAACAGAAAAATTCCTCAGCAAGGATAGGGCCAGGACAGGAATATATCTTGGGGATATATGCCAACTGGGCTGCTAAGTTACTAACATGCTAGGATAATTTTACTGTAATAACTTACAACATAGAGAATTCTATTGGTCGTCCCCTTCCCCTCTTCTCTCACCCCTCACCATCACGTTCTATAACGCTCACGCTGTAGAGCCTGTGTGGTACAACTGCTAACAATAGCCGTTTGGGCTCTTTCTGGCTCGGTACTAGTATATTTCCGCCCCACCATTCCCGAGCTAAAAGCGCAGGGTTGTTCCCTAAGCATGTTTCCTCTGTATATCTTACTTCTCTGTGGTGGATTTTTACTTATTTCACTTAGACAGGATGTAATATTAAGTAGGCTGTACTGTAGGTGTACTGTACCTGAAACCGTACTTGAACACATCTCAGCATACTTATTCCGGGTACATTTCATTGTACTTACTTATGTATTTTGTTTGCATGCCAGAAGCCTTTTTGAATTTCATTATAGCATTGGAAAGGTTTAAGCTTCAAACCTAGTCTTGTTAAGTAGTAGGGTCACCAAACATAGCCTCACATTTCTTACTTACAGTAAGCCAGGGTTGCCACATGTCCCGATTCTGTCGTGACAGCCCTGATTTCAGTCCCTTGTGCCTGTGTTTATGCCTATTGCTTGTAGCTTCATCACAATCGTAAGTGATCGGTAAGTTAAATGGTCAAGTTTGATAAAGAGAGGTAGCGTTTGTGTGAGTGTGACGTTTAGTGAGTATTATCACAGACAATAGACCATATCCCATATCCCAACCATTAACTTAATGGTCTATTTTCTGTAGTATTGTAGGACATTTGGGAATCCTGTTCTTCAAAGAATTCCTTTTAAGTTGTTAATATGATCTTGATGTGAGGTAGCCTACCTACTCTTTAAGTGATTTTATCCATTGTTTTTTACAATAAATGGTTGAAATTACCTGTATCCGTCAAGTGATCCTGTTTTGTAGTTACCTAGTTGACTACAGCTGTTGCGTGTTAATAACACATCTTCAGGTCATAATGTTGGATCGATTATTCCATGGAATGGTCGTCATAAGGTTTAAATTTCACAAAAAACACATACAGGCACATGAAACATTTAACATTTATTGGTCAAATTACCTCAGTCATGACCTACCTTATACCGGCACCGTACGTGTCCGATGTTTATTATGCGTTTTTTGTATTTTGGCCAATAAATGTTAATTGTTTTGTTGTTTTGTTTAAAAGTTTGACTCACATCTTTGATAGTGTTTTAATAGTTTTTGTGGCCTTATTAGGCCTATTATAGAATCAACGGTATTATAGGCCTTTTACCCAAAAGGCCTCTGAAAAGGTGATCTGAAGCTGAAATTGCTGCTAACCAGAGGTTTCCAAGGTCCAGTCATATTTTTAATTTGAAGACATAGGTACAGGTTACAGGCTTTAGGCCTAAAGTTGTGTGAAGCCCACAATTAATCTTCATAAATCATACGGTATGCTGTCTGTCAGAGTAGTTGCCCAGCTTCCGCATTTTCTTACGTTGTTGAAGTGGAGTTTCTCTTAATACCTATTCCAAAGTTTTGAAACCTTGAAAGTATGGATTTATTTGCTGAAATAGGTTGGATAACTCTTGCATGAGATTCTGATAGCTATTTTCATTTTCTCTCATTGAGAAGCGTATATTACTTGCCTCTTCTGAATCATAAATAAACTTGACCGTAGCGACTGTTGGGTGTGATTCCTATTCAGTGATGAACTTGAACATTCCTACATACACAAAAGGTCCCTCTCTAGTATTTGGTCTAATATTATCACTAACACTTAAGTTACCTACCTTTGCAAAAGAGCTTCTTATTTTTGATTTAAAGTTTCTTGATTGTTGTTGACTTCCAGTCAATAAACTTGGGTAAGGTCAAGTGGGGCAAGTGTAGGCTACGCCCGGGGAAAGTGGACTTCAAGCTAATAATAAATTTGTTTATTAACCAAAGCTTTTTTGGCATCTAGGGATATCAAAATGAAATATTAAATCGGTCCAGTGTCTAGGTTCTTCCGTGCCACCTACAGGTATGTTTACTGTTGTCAGGTAATAGCTTATAGGGAAATTCAATAGGCCTAACAAAAGAGTTATTACTAAAGATTTATTATTATTATTATTGTTTTATCTTATATGACTGTTTATGTCTAGTTAAGTCTATCATCTATCATCAAGTTACCTAACAAAATTATTTTAGCAGGTAAAGTGACGGGTATAGAAGTTTACTTTGGTTTGCAAATAAAATGAGTATGCAGTCACCTGAAAACAAAGAAAATACACAATTTATTCCTCCGCCTACTCCACTGCTTAAGAAAATAGGATTTGGCACAGGTAAGATGATACACGTGATACGGTTTAGTCAAAGTCCTTTGATTCTCAAAAAGGCCAAACTCAAATTTCTAAGTTTGTATTAGCCTATGAGAAAATGGAAGATTAGTTTATGATTTACAGTCCTTAATACATGGCACAATGTAGTCTAAACAGTAATTTTTATGTTAAGTAGATAATCAGGATTGGTAATTAGATTCATTACTATTACTAGGAAGAAATGTGGTAGCACTTTCTGCAGTCTGATAGTTTTTTTCTTCAGTTAATGAAGTATGAATTGGCTAGCACTGAACCTGACGAAATACGCCTGCATGTTTCTGGTGTCATATTATAGGTGTACAAGTGTATCTTGGGTTTGTTAACACTGAAATATTACACTGACAAATTTAAGCGAAGGTTTTATATATTTCATATAGGCCTAGAATACTATTAAGACAAGCTATTAGCTTTATTCTTGAATTATAAAGATTGTGGGACAATTCAATGACTTATGAAACATAAAGGTACCCTAAAACATAAGAAGTACATATAATAATAAATGAATTTCTGTTCCAGGCGTTTCTGTATATCACCTCGATCGTTCTCCTTGCAACCACACACTCCGATCTCCTTGGGCACTGAAAACCGTAAACCGCCAGCACACTGCATCTCACTTCCAGGAGCGGTTGGAAGCAGAAGCAAAAATCCTGCAAGAGCTGAATCACCCTAATATTGTCGGTTTTAGAGGTTTCACAAAGACTCAAGATGGAAGAAAGGTTAGACTGTTTTTAAACTAACTGTCCCTTGTCTTGAAATATTTGGTCTCAAGAAAATTGAGTTTTCTAATTAGGTAAGTGCTTAAAAACTTACACACATGAACTCAAATTAAATTTAGCCTATTGCACCTTTTTTTGCACAAGGTTGATCACCATAATATCCTAATGATAATTTATTAACATTATATATCTGTTACTTCCAGTTTGTTAAAATTATTGTTTCTCCTTACAGGTACTTGCAATGGAGGAATGTAATGAATCTCTTGGTGATCTGATTGAAAGGTTGTCAGACAAAGGGGGAGTGAGATTTGAGCCTGAAAAGATCCTAGCTGTTGTGGGAGGAGTAGCAAAAGCATTGAAATACCTTCATGAAGATAAGGGACTGTTGCACGGAGATTTGAAATCCTTCAACGTTCTAATCAAAGGTTTTGACCTTTTACTTTGAAGTATGCTTTATATTGTTATGTTTTGCTAGCAGGGGTGGTTGTACGTATCTGTTTAGGAAGAATTCTAACAACCGCCACTCTCCACCCAATATGTAGGTTGTCCAAGGACAGAACAGAAGAGAAAAGAATTGCCTGCTTATTTGCCCTATGACACAATGATTGTAGGTCATTTTCAATCCGTTCCACCCCTAGACATCTAGGAATTATACCTATGATGTAATATAACGACTTGTCCGCAACTTAAAATCGTTGAAAGAAAGTCTGAACTTGTAAACCATAAGACGCTTTGTCTTGTCGAAATAAGAGTGGGATTGAAAGGTTGGTGCTGAACACAATCAATTTCTTGTCAACCTACTGACAGGTCGTTGCATGTTTCCGGCTACTCAGACATATTGGTGCATCTGTGGCACCCTATAAGCCTCAGTTTTGTTGTATTTGTTACATACATTGTGTATTAGAAGGTCATTATGTGTAGTTGGACTGTTTATAGTGTTGTTTGTGTGTCACTAGTGTGCAATTTTTTTACCTAAATTAAAATGTCAGAGCCCTCAATCCTCCTGTGAGTTTCTGACAGTTCATTGAACTCTACAAGAGCTGCTTTAGGTATTCTTTCACTTTTCACACTTCTTGAAAGACAAATAACGTACATAGACCCCAATAGTAACTCCTCCATTGCGAGGCATAGAACACCTAAAAAGCCTCAGAAGTGGAAGCGGAGTTGTTGTAAAAGACGTAACGTCTAAACAGCACGGCCCAACATCCGGCAAGACGTTTTGATTTGTCGTTGCAGACGAGTCATATATTTTATCGTAGTGTGTAAACCCGCCTTAACTAAAGGTGTATACATAGACACCTATTGGTTTTGTAAACAATATGGGAATTTTACAAGATTTATTGCACTTTCTTACCTAAATCTGATCACCTGGTCATGAAGGCTAGTATTCTTTGGATTCTCATAAATTATCTTTACTAGGGGACTTTGAAGAGGTAAAGCTGTGTGACTTTGGTGTGAGCTTGGACCTGACAACGGCCCGGGTGGAGGATTACGTGGGGACTGGAGCTTGGATGGCCCCTGAGGCTTTGGAAGAAGAGGGACCTGTCACAGAGAAGGCAGACATATTCTCTCTCGGTCTTGTAATCTGGGAGATGCTCACTCTGAAGATACCCAACACAACTGACGACTACAACGATGTCTCATTGTCCGAATCATTCAACAGCAGCCTCATCGAGTGTGATCAGCATTACGGTAAGTTATTGTGTGTTCAGTTTTGATTTCTTAGACTTATAACTTATTTCTGTACCGGTGTTTAAAATATCGATATAGTGGTGAGGTGACCAAGATGTAATAAATGGAATGTCAAGTGCAGGACTCAGCCTAACCTGAGTAGAGGAGGTTTCTTTGCAAGCACTTTATAGTTTTGTAATCTAAAGATATCAGGATCCTGCTGAGTTTTAAAAATTTGACTATGAATGTAGACATTCCAATGGATGATAGTTCTAATGAATGATGAAGAGTTTAAACCAGTTTTAGTATGAAAATGGACATAGTTGAAATTAGCTATGGACAAAGTGCACTGAATTCCATATAATATCCATATAATTGATATATTACTGATTTTCATCAAAACTCTGACTTTTAACCAAGTTATACTGATAATGATAGGATGTCTTTTTGTTAGTTGTTATAGATTCTTTTTTTATCACATAAACTATCTCAGTAACAATACCTAAAGGATGTTAGACTACCACACTCTGTGACTATATTTGGAACCCCATAGCTCCCTAGATAATTACTGATGGTGTATGCAGGTGAGACGCCCCCATTGCCTGCAGGGCTCCCAACCAGGTACAGTCTGGTGACAGAGGTCTATCAGTGGTGCACACAGCAAGATCCTCGTCTCAGACCAAGAGCTAGAGACATCCTAGCTGTATTGGCTAGCAATGGTGTGCCACTTGAGAAACAACCAGTTCAAATCACTATATGAACTATAAAAAAAAATGCTCACTACTCGTGATGTTGTTTCCTCCTGGATTTCTTACATGTGTTATTCCTATTGTTTTTTCTAAACCTTTTGATATTTATTTATGGATGTGATGTGATTACTTGTTTGTTCAACAAACCAAGTGGTCGAAAGATAGCTTTTAAAAGTTTTCATATAGTCAACTTTTATTTTCTTGAATAAACTGTATTCTTTCCAATTTACTGTGCAACTGGTACTAACTCCTTGAACTACACCTTTTTGAGTTTTACACTTTTATAAGAATTACCTTCTCCCCCTATACATAATAAATCAAGAAAATATTAATTTTGTAAAAATTTTGGAGTGGAAATCCCTCTGCATCCAGAAAAGTGGTAATCAAACTAATGTCTGTCTGTGTGTGAATGTGTACAGAACTACAGGCTATACCTGTAGTTCGATTTTAATGCAATTTGGTATGTGGGTTCTATATCATAAATTTGTATCTCCATGCCTTTTTAAAATTTTATCAGAAATTTTGATTTTTAACAGTGATTTTTCATGACAATTTATAAAATAACGGAAAATTTGATTTTTACCAAAAATAGCTCTTACCTTTTTTTTATAAAAATTTTGTATGTTATTGTACTTTTAACCCTGAACCAAATGGCACAATCTCCAATTTTGTAAATTTTGTAGTTCAAAACTCAAAAGTTGCCTATTTAAATGCTTGTGATTTTCCCATTAAATATCACAGTTACCTCCTCCATTATCATTGGAGTATTGAGTAATGTTTACCCGTGTTCAATTTTATGACAAGCTAATGGGAGAAAGTACACATCAGTTTGCTGATACGGTACTGTTAAAGTGTATAAAAGATAAGTGTAATGTGCTTATTGCAGTTATACTCGTGAAAATATAGCAGCTCTCACTGAGGAAGAATTATAAGGAATTATGAAATAGTAATAGGTAGTCTAAAAGTAAAGTATGATTAAAAAATTTGTATATGAAAGGCGAGTGGGGGCGGGGGTATTTTTTTCTTCCAAAAAAAAGAACATTATGCACATATTTTTACAAATTTAAGGTTAATAATGTTCTTACCATTTGGAACATTATTAACCTTAAATTAGTAAAAATATGTTCATAAAGTTCTTGATTTGGAAGAAAAAAATCCTCCCCTGCAGCAAACCTGTAGACTAAGTGAATTTCCATTCGCTTGATTTGATTTATCACTTTAGGTAGTACCTAGGTTTGCTGCTACAAGGGGGGGGGGGTAATAAAGTGAGTTTTTTTTTAGTAAAGTATCACTAGCTTAGTATAAAATAAAGAAATTGGTCATGTTTGATCAACATAAATCCATAAATGACCAAACTACAATAGTTTACTTATTCTCTATAAGAATAATGTAGGGATTTTAAATTTACATTTCTTTAGATTTTCTCCGCAATCAATTATTGCACAAAAACACTTCAATATACTAAATTATTTGTTTTTTAAGCTCATCATTAGAGCTTAATCAATAGATTCCTTTATAAAAACTTTCTCAACAAGGTTTCCCTCAAAATATAACCATTAGTGTAGAGGTGGGAGTATTTTAGCTGAGTAAGAATGTGGGTTGAGTTATTGATTTATGTTAATCAAGTATAGGTCTACATCCAAACAAGTAAGTACTGGTGCTTTCTTGATATAATGTAAAAAAGTCCTCTATTGTTTGGGAGCTGTTTGGCAGTTTTAAACCCTACAAAATAATGGGGATTAAAGGGCCCAATAAAGACAAAATGTATAAAAATTAGCTTGCGTGCATTTAAATAATGAACAGGCTCTCAACAATAAAATTTGAACATTAAATGTATACATTTATTTGAATCAAATATTAGCAAAGTGTAAGCTTTTAACAGAATCAAGAGGAAAATTGGATAACAAGATTAATTCCCAAATATGAGTCATAACTACAACAATATTACAATATATACATTCTCCTCTTGTAGGCTTTCACAACCTTGACAAATCTAACTGGTTAAAAAATTTTAAAAGTACCTTTACAAATGTTCAGGTCAAAAATAATTTTCGATATTTTTGTTGGAATAAAAATGTATTAAAATATATTGGCAATTTACATAAAAACAGCTAATATGTGATTCAAGTCCCAGTCTTATTAGACTAATAAGCTAAATTATATCTATTCTTGGAGAACATAAATAAGGAAAAATATATTTATGTACATATTAAAGCATGATCTAGGCCTAGTAACAGATGAAACATTTCTTATAACAAAGTTGCTTTTAACTTTGTTTCAAAAGAAAAAGTTTGTAAAGAGTTGAAAAAATTCTATTGGACTCCATATATAATATATATTAATGTTGTCCTGGGAAAAATATAGTAATCTTAATATTTTGGGTTTGGTGTTTGAATTGCTATTTGGAACATTTAACAATTTAAAAACAATTTAAAAAAATTAATATCATCAATAAAGAGTATTACAGGGAATGTTTGGTGTAATATACCAAGCAAATACAACTTAATACAGAAAATTAATCTAACAAATAATTGATTAACTTAAAATACATCATATTATCTTATCATAGCTCTTGGTATTATTTTGTTCTCATGTAATTCTTAAGTTGCTACATTTTGACGTTACCATTTCAAACTGTCTACGCAAAATCTGGGAATGTTGCTGAAAGTCAACAGTCCCGGAAGATCAAATAATTTATACCTGTGCCGCTAGGTCAAAAACTACAATGTTTGCAGTGTCTGTAGATCAAAAGTCCCAGTAAGTCAAATAGTACAGTCCGAGCTAAAAACGTGGTCTATGTTAAAGCAATTGACTTATTGGGAATTTGACCTAATGCAACAGCAGTTTTAATATAACGAAATACGGTAAAATACAAGTTTAGTTTCGCTGAGTCAACAGTGCCGGAAGATCAAAAGCAATAAAAGTGAACGTCGATTCAGTGTAAAGTAGACCTCCTGCAACGCTTACTACACCAACAAAACTCGCTTTTAGTTACTTCGTGTTTTGTCATAATTAGAATAGAGCTAAAATTATCATATTTGGTATATAGCTAATCTATTAATGCTTCTTGCTAACTGTTTGGTCAACACTGTAAATAGGTATAGTTTATGTAATAAAAAGCCTTTCGTCAAAATTTGTGGCATGAAATACACGCAAGGACGATCTGAAAATTTCTGGTTATTATATACACTTGTAAAAGGAGATCCATTTAATTTTAGAACTATTTTATGAGTTATAATGTAGTCTACAAATAAACTGTGTAAATATTACGCCTCGGAAGGGTTGAAACCTGTCCAAACTATCATATATATTATTAAAACGTAAATGGGGTTTTTTTCACATTCTGAATCAACCAGTCGACGGATTTTCATTATTTTTGTGTTGAAAGAAAGATAATTTTGAGAACTAGGGAATGTCAAAGCCATAATTATAATTACGGGTCCCAGTTTTTTAGAAATTAAGTTTTAATTTTTAAAAAGTCTACCAGACGACGCTAACCTTCTAAGCTAGCTTTTAGTACAATATAATTTGCTTAACATAACAGCTGTAAACATTCAGCATTTGTGACACAAATTCAGCATTTGGAAACAAATATTGAGAGTTGACTTATTTATACTATGTGTAATGCTGACCATTGATACATTCAATTCTTAGGTATGAGGATGGCAGATTAATTAAATATGCATAGTAAAATAGTAGGATGTTCAAATTATTTTTTTAAAGGAATCTTTGGAATCATCGATTTGTTTTAGTCCCATATAATTTGTTTTAACTAACAGCTGGTTGGATGTAATATTGTTCTATATAACTATTAGGTTTTTGGCGAATTTCCCATATAGGGAATAAGCTATTACCGTAGTACTTATGGTAACACCTGGACCCAGGCCCGATTTAATTTTTCGTTTTGAGCTCCCTAGAGACCAAAAACACCATCCGTTCAAATTCATATATACAGGGTGATCAACTCAAGGAGGCCACCATTGGGAAATCGGAAACGGTAAGAATTAGAAAAAACTTTAAATGGGGGAAATTCCTTTATTTTTTGTGGCAGTTAAAAATATGATTTTAGTTTTTTTATCATGTTTTCGGATAGAATATGCAATTTAAAAACTTTTTAGCCTTGACATTTTTTCGATAATCCCACTAGTTTAGGAGTACAGCCTATGGAAAAATGACTTCCGGTGTACATTTTACATCATGTAGCTCCTAAACGAGCAAGTTTAGAGCAAAATTGCAAAAAGTAAATTAGTCTTAGAATTGCATCTACATTCCTTAAAGACTATATAATAAAACTAACTTTTCAAGTTTGCCGCCATTTTTTAAATAATTTAATTCATATTTTTAATTAATTGTATGGTCTTTTTGGTATGTGGATGCAGTTGTAAGACTTTTTTACTCTTCGCATTTTTGCTATAAACGTACTTGTTTAGGAGCTACATGATGTAAAATGTACACCGGAAGTCATTTTTTCATAGGCTGTAAATCCTAAACGAATGGGTTTATCGAAAAAATGTTTGGGATAAAAAAGTTTTTAAATTGCCTATTCTATCCGGTGTTCTATAAGAAATTTCAAATTTGGCCGTCATTTTGGAAAATGGTGACTGAATAAAAAAAAACTAAAATCATATTTTTAACTGCCACAAAAAATAAAGGAATGTCCCCCATTTTAAGTTTTCTCTAATTCTTACTGTTTCCGATATCCCAATGGTGGCCTCATTGAGTTGATCACCCTGTATAGCCTATATTTATTTATATATTTTTTTTCCGGGGGGAACCCCAGGACCCCCCTCCTTTTTGGGGGGTATTCCATACCCCCCAGGCCCTCGGTGACCCCCCAAAATATATGTCTAGGACCGCCCTTGTCTTCTTTACCTATAAAACACATGGGATACAGCCTTTCTTCACTGATCACGTAATGCTTGATTTTCTATAAAGTCTTGGAAAAATAAAAGGTAAAATAGATAGAATACAGGTGTACTGTATGTGGTTTACACACAAATATTCATCAAACTGTGTGATATTTTGTTATTGCAATGAACAATTTGGAAGTCGATAGAAAATCTCTGTTGATCCTGTTTTACAAGGAAACCAAAAAGATACAGTAGTCACCACTCTATGCGACATATTCTAACCAGAACATTCTTATCGTATGATTCTATAAGCATTGGTAGGATTGCAAAGTACTACACAAACATTATTTCAAGGGTGATAACACTTACAATTTCCGCTGACTTTAAAAGAGTAAACTAAAATATTATACTAACGGACACACAACTAAATAGAACAACTAATGGAAATACTCACGATGTACATATACCTAACAGTTCGATATAAGCATTGAGTATACACGTCAGTAGATACGTGTATACCCAATGATATAAGCAACGGTTCTTGCAATTTATTGCTTATTGTTTTTTAGAGTTGTTTTCGGACTTACTCTGTTTTCGGACTTACTCACACTCGTATAAGGTTGTCCACGTTTGTCATTGATAATGTAGCCATGTTACACCCGTTGTCACGAATATGTTTACAAGTTTTCCGTCTGTTTTTGAATAGCGATACATTTTTCCACATACTTAAGAACCACCTGATTTCGTGCATTAGGGCCTACATGTTCGTCTCAATTTTATTTGCTTTAGTAGGCATTCTTTTGGTTGATGAGGACTTCAATAGGTCCTTTCAATGATTGCTCATGAAATATCGTACTTTGTCCATTAATTTTTATTGTTTGGTAAAATGGATTAAATTATCCAGCAAACCCAAAGCGAAATAGTAAATATAGTATTTCAAACAAATCAGTAACATGTTAATAATGTAGCCTACATTATTTCCTTGAATTGCATAACAGCAATTAATTGAGCTGATCTAATATAAATAAATCAATATGTTCTTCATAGGCATAACATGGGTTCTTTAAGAGCCACTGGGGCTGAGCCCAAGGGATTTAAAAAACGTAAGGTTGGTTTGCAAATGTACGTGACACGCTCTTTCTGAGACATGAATGGTCAAAATCGCCTAAGAAATGCGGAGGAGTTCAACGGAAAAATTTCGTGTTGGCGTTATACAGTATGGTTGAAAAGTCCTGGATTGGCTATATTTTTTTAACAATATAGATAAAGTAGTGAGACTTGGTATATCAATAATAGCCATAAATATCTACTGTCTTAAGCTATTATCACTTTTTTATCCCTTAAGGGGGATGGACCACAAAGACTAAGACAAAATTCTTATATAATTTTAATACTATTTTACCTGTTTTTGAAATTGCGACCATACAAATGTATGCATTTTAAGCCAAATATGAATGGAGATGAGTGTGTGATGAGTGGAGCGATCTTGTTGTCCTATTAGTGACTAAGGCGGACATAATCCTTAGACACAGCTGTTAATTAATAGTCCATACAGTCAATTAATAGCAGCAGAGGTCAAGTTTGGTATCAAATTAAAGGTTTTATTCATAAAAATACATTGCCGCAAACACAAACTCAAACGATGATGATGATAATCATGTGATGTAGCTAAAACGTATAGTTTGAAATTTAACAGCTGAAAATAAGTGAAATAGAAAAGGTTTTGGTCAAATCCATCAAATTGTAATTGGCACTTGTGATCCCTCTCCCTTCGGTTTGATGTATTCCTCTCAATCAGTTCCAACCTAGGAGGATTAAACATTAATGTTAATTAATGTTAAATCCTCCTAGGTTCAAACCTGAAACACCCAGATCGAAACTCGCCTGTCGTTATTTTAACATCGCCATATTTTTTTAACTATATTTTTCAAAAAAGAAAGATTATATTGATTTACTTTGGATTTTAAAAATGTGAACGTTTTATTTTATTAAAGATTTATGGTGATACGTAAATATTGTGGTGTGGTAAAGTATATTATATTGTAGTTAAGTGTTAAATTTTGAAATGTTAAGGTGAATCGAGATGAATCTTTTTAATAACATGGGTCTCTCCTACCTTAACATACATACCAAGTTTCATAAACATCGGTTGGAAGAGTGTAAAAATAAATATTTGTATGTAAAAAATATAAAATGGCGGATATCTGGTTAACGAAACGATTTTAGAAAAAATGTTATCCTTCATTTTCTGTTTATTTTGACCCAAGGAATTACTAGGTAAAGTATCTCCCCGCTCTTTTTTAACACCCTGTAAATGATGTATTCTTATTAATATAAGTGAAAAGTGTAAGCTGGTAATACAGAAAGATTTTTTATAAATAATATGAATGTACTGGTGATCTGTATATTCATCTTTTTCTTGTCCTTAGAACTGTAAATTAAAAGTCCACTCAGCAGTCGTATCGTATGATGTAGTTCTTTCCATGCGTTGCGAAATGCTAAATTTGCCGTCCTCTTCAACCCAAGTTATCTATTGAACCACTGATTGTAAAAAAAAAATACATATATTTTACGCATCACACTTTTGGCTACAACTTTGCCACAGACAAAACCTCTCTAACCCAAAAACAAACAAAAATCTCGCATGCTAACTTTTTCATGTTAGAAATCACGATTTAAAACTATTTCACCATACATATAAATTTTTATTAATTAGATCGGTAAATAGTTTAAAGTTCCAACAAAATAGTCATCGAGTAGGACTAACCAAGAAGCTCTGTGCCAATTTTCAAAATTTTAGCACAACTTTAAGTACACCAAAACACGAAATTATTGAAGTCATGCGTCGAGAGGACTATCGTTGTTTTTAACAGATTATACTTTTGACCTTCCGACACTGTTGACTCAGCGAAACTGAACTTATATTTTATCTTATTTCGTTATATTTAAACTGCTGTTGCATTAGGTCAAATTCCCAATAAGTCAATAGCTTTGACATAGACTACGTTTTTAGCACGGACTGTATTATTTGACTTACTAGGATTTTTGATCTACAGACACTGCAAACATTGTAGTTTTTGACCTAGCGGCACAGGTATAAATTATTTGACCTTCCGGCACTGTTGACTTTCTGCAACGCGTCCGTTAATCTGGCTAATTTAACCAAATTCAACACCAAATTAAAATATACAATTTAAATAACGTTTTATTTGCAGACTGAGAGAAGTGAGGAATTTTGAGGTTGATCAGCTTTTACATTTTGCAAGAAGCTTTGATTTTCCACTACAGTGATTGTAAGGTATTTACTTTATACATTAACACTGTTGTGGTGAAAGAACAGTTCCACAGGGATTAGTTCTTGTAAGAGAATAGTTCTTTAGAGATTACGGTTTTGTTCATTTACGAACTATTCTTGCTGTTCTATTAGCCGGTAGCTTGCTCTTGCTCTCGTGTAGATTGTTGTTGAAACTAATATCTTCCTTAAATGTGTTCTCCTTGGCACCTCTGGAACAAGAAGTACATTTTGAGTGATAAAAATAATTTTAGTAAAGTTTTTCTATTCAAGTTACGAACACATACATAGTAATTAATGGTAATCGAAATGCCTGATTTGAGGTGCAACTCCCATCAACTTCCTTTTGAGCCTTCCACTCTCCCAGCAAGCTCTACACCAGGGTTGCCACCTAAGGTTGGTAAAAAATCGGGACTTCCCCCCCCTCCACCCGGATTAACATAGGCTTAAATTAGGGCATAAGGAACCAAAATCGGAACTATCCTGACAGAATAGGGACGGGTGGCAACCCTGCTCTACACAGACAGGTGGACTTCACATGAGTTGCGCACCAGTGGGATTTAAAACCTTGATTTACAGTGATTGTCTCCTGCCTGGGGAGACAACACCTTAAAGCATTCGGCAAGGTGTATACTATATTTTTTTAAAGTGAAATCCTAGGTTTTTACTAGAATTTTAAAAGATTTTCCAGGTTCCCACGTGATTTTTAAGTTGCATAAACTAAAATAAATTTAAGGCCTACACCTCAAGTTTGTTCTCATATAACATTTTTATATTTCTAATTTTGTCAAAATTCAGTGAGCTAGTATTGTAAAAATAATAATCCTTAATATCGGAATCATTTTCATTACCCATCACCTAAGGTCACAGAAACTTTGTCTCCTGTGATAGCGGCAAAATCCTGAATATCTCCATCCTTTATGAAAACATCATTGGTGGCATAATTCTGAAATGTCACTTTAGGTTATCATGGTCATCACAGCAAAATCCTGAATATCCATTGGCATTTGTATTATTGCCGCCTCCAACGGTCATAGAAATGTCATCATAGTCTTCCGCGATTGCGTCAAAATCCTGTACACCTCCCGCGGTTTCTAGACATTATCTTTGTGTTCTGCGGTCATGGAATCATCATCATATCTTCCACAAGCATTGCAAAACCCTGAATTGAATATTTCCCGCATTTAATTTAAATTATCGTCGCCTCCCGCGGTCACGGAAATGTTATCAGAGTCTTCTGTAATCGTGGCAATTTCCTGGACTACCTTATCTTCTGCCGTTTATAGACAGTATCATCGTCTCCTGCGGTCATGGCAACGTCATCATAGTCTTCCGCGATCGCGGCCAAATCCTGGTAGTCACCCACAATCTCTGAAACATCATTGTCGTCTCCGGCGCTCACGGAAACATTATCATTGTCTTCCTAGATTGCGGCAAATGCTTGAATTTTTCGATTGCATGAACTTTGCAGACACATATTTTGTGCTCAATCTCTCAAGCTTGCAGGCCAGGCTTGGCTTAGTTCAAAAATCGAGCCACTTGCACACCTCTAGGCCTACTTTAGTTAATAATGGATGAAATAAAAATACAAGCATGGCCCCAAAAATCCCAAATTTTTCCACAGCCTTTCAAATTTAAGGTTTTTTGGGTTTTCCCAGTTAATATGCACCGTGATTCGGCCATCAATCAGAACTTATAGTCTACTGGACCAACAACGTATCTTAAAAGGCAAAGCAAAGCATCGGTTATATTTAATAATTTTTCTTTTGTTGAGTTGAGTTAAATACTTTTTGGTAGCCATCAATTTGCATACATAGGTATTCCAAGTGACTTATTAGAAAATACTTACCCTAAATAGTAGTTTTACCCATTTTTAATCATTTTGTATTTTTGATGCTGTGCAAAACAGTTCTAATATACTCAGTTAGTTATACATCTACTTTCAGCTTGTTTTCGTGGTAATTTATATGACTACACAGTATAGACTAATAGTCTATCGAATCTGATGCTAACTTGGAACATAAAGTTTTAACAAACCAAACCCAGCATATGGTTATGAAAGCAGTCCTGCTATGCAGCAACTATCTCGGTGACCCTTGTTTTAACATCAATGACTGCGAGTGTCGATGTTGCAAGCAAGGACTTTGTGCTGTGCTAATGACCTCTGCTAACACTTCAGGCCGGGCTATATTTTCAATATGTCTTTCATCACTTCATACGATTTCAAGGTTAACATTTTATATTAATTATTTGATATTATAATTCTTTCCTGCAATTTTTTATTTTTCTTGTTAATTTCATCCCAAATAGTTTGCTAGATTTTCTAAGATGAAAAAAGTATATAGTAGTTCTAAGCTTAACACGTTCGCTACTACAATAGTACGAAATTTTCCATTCACATGGACCAGCGACGCACATATGCGACGGCCGGTTTCCACCCATAGACTGCCGTCGCACATTAAAATAGACTGCCGACGCATATTTGCGTCGGGGTTCTAATGTTATTAAACGCTTATATCTTTGTAGTGGTCTATTTGAAGGCACTGAATTCCCTGCAGTGGTCTACAGAGATGTCTGACGCACAACTGCGTCGCTTGGTCTGTGGATATGGTGATTGGTGACGTCATATAATAGTTGGAAAAACTGGTCTTTACTTTTCTGCATCACTGTATGTATGTATGCAGTACGTATGCTGCATTATCCTATGTAGCTTTTATATTTGTTCAGTGATAAACTGTTCTTGAATAATCTGTTTATTTTTTTACTTATTTTCACCTTAAAACACAAAAAAATGAACCGTCGCATATATGCGACGTTTAGTCTATTTCAAGAAAACTATGATAATTTTCACTATTGTCTTCGCTGTAGACCGGGCGTCGCAAATATGCGACATTACAAAAGGTTATAAAAAATTCAAAAAACAAGAATAATTTATTTACAAACACGATTGAAGCGTATTACAATGTAAATGATCACTGTTTTACAGGTTTTCGCCCGTGGTCTGTGTGTACTGTTATCCAAGTGATAGCCGGTCTATGTGTAAGATTCAAATGTATACCTCGGTCTGTGGCAATGACCGCGGCGTCGCATATATGCGACGCTCAGTAGCGAACGTGTTAACTTAGGTTGTAGAAAATGTTAGGTATAGTTTTGAGCAATTTTTATTGAGATATATTTTCATCAATAGTTGTAAAAGGATTAAGGAAGTAAGGTTATTCTACTCTTGGCCCAGCCTCAAAATAAGTGATTCAATTGGGAAAATTCAGGGTTAACAAAGAAAACCAGCTTTGAAATTCTCAATAATGATAGGTAGGCCTAATATACGAGGAGGCATGTTTTTAAAGTAAGTACCGTTTTTAAATTTCTAGTTCCGTTCCAGCGCTGCAATTGGCATTTTGGACATTTGTCCTGTGTATGGGCATCTAATGGAAAGCCTGGGCCGGAAATTCGGCAACAATCGGTCGTGTTTACATCCGGTTTCGAGCATTTAAAATGCTGCCTCCAATTAAGACTGCTGCCAGATTTCCAATAGATGCACATACACAGCGCAAATGTCCAAAATGCCAAACGCAGCGCTGGTACGGATAAATTTAAAAACGGTACTTACTTAAAAAACATGCCTCATATTTTAATTTCTCTAAAAACGTATTTCAGAATCTTTTGCTGCTCTAATACGGTAGTCTGAATCTGGTATTGCCCTCACCAATGAATATAAGCGGTTCTGCGAGGTGTTTTCGACTAAATTTAGGAGTTCTGATTGTATTTACTCACAAGTATCGTGTAAGATCTTCAATGTCCACCAACATGGAATCTTGGCTCATATGAAGTTCATCTCTCTCCATTAGGAACTTGACTAGGCTCTCATTGAGTGCTGTAAATATCACAGATGATTATATTAGGCTATAAGTATTAAATTGTTAGAAAAGTTTTCACACTAGACATAATAAACACTAGGCCTATACAAAATAATTAGGGGTCTATGGTAGAGAAAATTATAGGTTGGTACAGCGCATTATTTTTTACCTCGATTCTCGGTATAAAATCGGTACAGTACCGGTATGTGGTTACCAGTATTTTTACCGTGTTCTTCTCAGATAATTTTTAACCCATCATTTTGAATTTTTGATACGTTAACATTAGTATAAGATTACTATGAAGATGGATAAATTAGTATCCAACATTCATGATTTTCTATCAACAACCTCAAACAATTACCACATAATATTAAATCTTTTTACTGTGTACACAGAATTGTGTCACAATAGAAAAACAGTTAAGAAAGGCTTTACCTATTTTATTATTGAGATAAATCATAGCCATCATAAAGTGGTTTTAAAATTAGGCTTATAGTTTTTAGGAACTATATATATTTATTTAAAAAGAAAAAAATTGACATAGGCTAACTGGTAACTATATTCCAACTAACACAAACACTAGCTGTTTAACTTTTAAAACATATCAGCGCTATGTATCTTTCAGTACAAAGACAGCCGTAGTTGGCCTCATACATTAGTTTGTGACAAAGTAAGCAGTGATTAACATTCAGTACTTATGAGTATGTTACCAACCAATTACGCTCCTTGCTTTCATTGCGCGAACTAATTTTATTTTGTTCATCTTTCACTCTGTAGGTATTTATTTGGCTGTAAATGTTTGAAATTAAAAAGATTGCCCCAACATTTGATGTTTACAATATTGTTTTGAATTAACAATATCTTTGCCTTGAAGAGATTGAGCTGCCTTAAATGTTTTGCTGCAATCAAGCTACATGAGGTGGTAACAACGTCGTTGTCATAGCTCTACGGTGGTACAGCACATTGTTTTGTTGGCTGGTGAGTAATTGTACAAAGTGTGACTAGATGGTGGTTGTCTTTCAAAAACTGGACCTTAAACACCAAATACCCTTATCCTACCATCACACTATTTGGGACTCCAAGTTTTAACATTTCACATATAGGTAAATCTAAAGATAACACTTACTTTCTATCTGCGCATGAAGATCGTTGGCTATAACTTGCAGTTGGGCAATGTTCATGTCCGTTAACATTTGACGACTGACTCTTCTACGATCTTGCGGAAACACAACCCCCACCTGTTGATAACAATGTTTTTAATGCAAAAAATACAAACCCAATTTACATTTATGTTAATTTTTTTTGGGGAAAAATAAAGAGTGAAAGGCAAGTGAAGTGGTGAATCAATTTTGAAAATGGCCAAACCATTGTTAACAATGAGGATAGCGATGGCTAGCCTAGTCCTCATCAATCAGAGGTTTAAATAAATGAAGAAAGATTGAGCTCATTGAAAAGCTCCTGTCCGTGTCCTTTCCTAACAAGTGTAACACTGCCCACACTAGAAAAATGCTACATTGGACAGGACACCACCGCTTTGAAAATTTTCACCCCACCCCACAGCAGGCATAAGGCTTGAAGGATGTCATCCCTCCCCACGGTGCGATACTCGGATCTACAAGAGAACAAAAAACCTAAATATGATTTATTGAGGGGCTCACTGACGCCGGCAAAAATAAGTAACGCCTGTTTTACCTAGCAGCAGTTGCGGGAACTTGTAAATACAGAGTGAGTTTTAACTTAAGCATTTTGCTCCTTCTAAGGCTTATATTCATTGGTAGGGCCTATAGTTAATGCTGTTGCCTGCTCACCTTGTGTAAAGTGTTTCGTAGCATCTCGGTGATGGGGCTGACACTCCTTCGTTGGCGCTCGATCTGCATTTGTAGATGTGCCAAGTCAGAGGCCTGTGCTAGAGCTGTACGAGCCTCTGTCTGCAGTCTCGCAATACACACTAGAACGTCGACCTCCGACATCTCAGCAATACCAACCTAGTAAATAAAACAGCTAGACTAGGCCTATGGTCAACATAGAAGAAGGCTAAATCAATTCAATTCTACCTATGCGGCCACTGAAACCTAATTATATCCTAGCCCCCATCCTAAACAAAACCTATTTACTATCTATGTTGGTTTAGGTTAATTAGTGGTAAATTTAAAACCCTTATGTCTTTTAGCTCTTAATCACCCCATCGCAGTCAAGGATGCCCGTAATATTTTATACCTTGTTGATTATTTGTGACTACAGTAGGCTACTTCTTGTCCGTCACCTATGCGACTGAGACCAAGGCCGGTGAAAATTTATGACTATCCAAGAATTAGCATGTTCATGATATTCCACCATCGCAGGAGACGATTATGATGTTTCAATTACGGCAGGAGATATTTAGAAGATCGCTGCCATTGCACATAACAACAATCTTACTAATATTATAAATCTGAAAGTTTGTGTGTGTGTTGCTCAATCACGCATAAACTACTGGACGGATTGAGCTGAAATTTGGCATGATGATAGCTCACATTCCCGGTTAACATTTAGGCATATTCTTATCTCAAAAATCCATTCGGGCTCCGCCCAGTGGCTCTGTAGTTCCCCATGTTAACCTTATGAGTACTCATATTTAAAGGGTATTAAAGAATTTAGTCAGCTGTTTCAACATTACAAGTTGGTTCTATAATATGCAATAGCATTAAAAAGTTATAAGGTTTCCCAACAGGGTGTAGCACTATTATTATTTTGTTTTTGCATATATGACAACAGCTAATTTGAACTAAGCGGCAACAAAAAGCTGTGATACACAATGAGAACTGTTAAAGTAGGATTGTTTACAGTTAGGTTTGAGTTTTTAATTTAATAAATAATTTGTGATATAGTGCGAGTGTTTAATAATTTATTTTTTTCTATTGTTTAGGTTCAGTGGTAGGACATTATGGCAATGGTAGATGTGTTACACTATATCATTTATGAACCAAATTTTATCAAACTGTGTCCTCCCCCCATTACAAACGCAAAGCTTGAGTATAACTGCAATTTAAGCATTTTATACTTATATGCAACCCCGTACGAAGGACGGGTGCTCTGCTAGTAAATAATGTTACTGTGATTGCAGTAGATGATGATGATTTCCCAGCGAGTTCGGGAGGTCTGAAATATTTTGCCATGATTTGCGTTCAAGATTATAATGCTTCTTTGCCCCCGAAGATGTCCAATATTTGACCGCAATCGCAGGGGATGATAATTAAATTTCCGTGATCGCAAAAGATGCTAATGAGGTTTAAGTCAAAGTCATCTTTATTGTCACACATCTTTTTTCTACATTGCTCTGGTACAGCCAGACAAAACAGGTGACATTGTCAAACTATACTAAAATAAACTAGCCTATAGTTAAACTAAATACCCCCGCCGCAGCAAACCTGCAGACTAAGCGAATTTCCATTTGACTGATTGGATTTACACTGAAATGTCTACTTAAAAATATAACATTTATTCTTGATTTAAATAGAATTAGTTTAACAAGTACTACTTAGGTTTGCTGCATCAGGGAGGGTAAAACTGTTTTTTTTTTGTAAAATGTGAATAGTTAGTAAGAAATAAAAACATTTTCCAAATTTGATCAAAATATATTCACAAACAAGCAAACTACAACAGTTTACTTATTCTCCATAAGAATAACATGGGAATTTTAAATTTACAATTTTTTGGAATTTTCTCCGTAACCATTAGGCGCATAATAACGCTTCAATATACTAAATTATTTGTTTTTTTAAGCTCTACAAAATGGTTTGGAAAGAAATTGCTAAATTTTATGTTTTTTGGGTCAAAAATGGGAAAAACCTATTTTTACCCCATAAAACCCCCCCGTAAACCCCCGTTCACATCATGCTGGATCGCGAACTCGTTAGAATAAACGTACGTTTACACGTTTGTACCAAATTTCATCAAAATCGGATCATTTTTGCTCGAGTTATCGTGCTGACGGACATATATATATATATAAATATATAAATATATACAGGGTGAGTCTTCTAAGCTGTCCTAAACAGATTACAGACTAACGGCTTGACATACAGAGATGAAACAAAACTTTTCCCCACTAATTCATACCCAAGGAACAACGTAAAAATGTTTTTACCATTTTTTAAATACAGGGTGTTCAAGAAACTGGGGGTCATAGGTTCGAATCTCTGAAGATTAGTGGATGGAGGTACACTATTCCCATGGTACTGCGCGTTTAACATGAGTTTTATATGGGCAATTGGAGTTTTTGGTTAATTACTATAAAACGACCAAAGATAGACGGTAGGTTTAAATTTAAAAGTTGTTTGTTTTTACAAGACCTTCAAAATTATACACACTTTTACATATGTTGCCTTTTAAAATTTTCATTTACAAGGCTACCAACTAAAAAAAAAATTAAATCATAGAAAAAATATTTAGTTTTTTAAATGTCGACTTGTCGTACATCAAATTAAAGCTGAACCTATGAGGATTAAGAATTTTCAAACAGAACGAAAATAAGTTTAGTGGTTTTCAAGATACAGGGTATTCCGTAAATATCAATATTTTCTATAAAAACGGCCGCCATTTTGAAACGGACAAAGATAAATGAGTTCTGTTTACACTAAATTGTTTGTCTAGTCTAGAGCTTTACAATGATGCATAACATGACATATGTTTACATTTGAAAACTCTGAGATTCGAACCCATGACCCCCAGTTTCTTGAACACCCTGTATTTTAAAAATGGTAAAAACATTTTTACATTGTTCCTTGGGTATGAATTAGTGGGGAAAAGTTTTGTTTCATCTCTGTATGTCAAGCCGTTCGTCTGTAATCTGTTTAGGACAGCTTAGAAGATTCACCCTGTATATATGAATTTGAACAGATGGTGTTTTTGGCCTCTAGGGACCTCAAAACGAAAAAGAAAAATCGGTCCCGCGTCCAGGTCCAGTGTTGGGGAAGCTACTTTTAAAATGTAGCTAGCTACAACTACTGCTACACTTCCAAAAAAGTAGCTTAGCTACAGCTACAGCTACAGTTCCTATAAAGTAGCTAGCTACAACTACAGCTACATTGAAATGTAGCTATAGCTACAATTTTAGCTACTTTTCCAAAGACGTTACTTTTTATTCCACGCACATTAGGTAAATGTAAAATTAATTGCAACTAAATTTTTACTGAACAAACATTAAAATAATGTCAGTATTGTATCTAACATTAATTGGAAAACAAATTATTCCTAGATTGTATTTAATTTTTTGGCATTATAAACCTAACATTACAACAACAGAACCAAATAGTTCGGTGTCCCATCATATTTAGTACTTATTTTTAAATATTGCATTATTTTTAAGCATCTTAAATGTCAATTTCATTAAGTTCAAAGGACATACAACCAAACTATATTTTAAAAGCTCATTTTATTTCTTTAATATAGATTCATTTATAGATGTCTTATATCAACAATTAAGACCAATAAAACTGTAAAACGATTATTTAAAAATACTTTTTTGTGTTACAGAGCCTAGCCTACTGAAACTGGAGTTTATTGCCTTTCTTTTAATGTTAAAAACGACATTGCTATAAACTTTTAAGTGATAAGTTACTTGTACTATGAATAACACTTTTCAATGTCAAGAAATCGTCCTTTATTGTCATTATGCATAGGGCAAATTGTGCTTCAACCTAGTTGGTACAGAAAACAGTATCCAGTAACTTATCCTGAAATTGGCTTTTAATTTAAACATGTTGAAATTTGTAAAGTAAAAATAACATGTAGGCCTACTTGGCTATGTAACAAGTTGGCTATAGTAGGCTTGTTCTTGCTAGGACTAAACAGATAGGATTCCTAATAATTGAACTTGGAACTTGGTATTCGTCTTAAACCATAGCATAGCCTAGGAATTAATACAGTCTAGCCTTGATATAACGAACCTCGATATAACGAATTCCTTGATATAACGAATTTTTTTTAATCCCCTAGAACTTTCCATAAGACACAATGTATATTTTACCTCTACATAACGAACAAACCATAACAACTACCTTGATTTAACGAATTTTTTGTGATTTCGGCTAAAATAAGACACCTCAATATAACGAATTTATCATTGTCAGAACCTCTACATTGCGAATTTAACCTCTGCATAACGAATTGTCTACGTCTTTCCCTCGATATAACAAATCCCCCACCCAATTATTGTTTTGGGAAAATCTGTTTCTTTATCAAATGAAATGGAAAGGTCACGTCATCGCTTGCGCTAACATTCGTCTGCTCCGTTTTACATCTTTGTCTGCTGTCCCTGCGCGCGCTATGTTGCAACTTGCAACTGAGAACTGATTTCATTCTCTGAGGGAGGACTGATGACGTGTTTAGTAAGCTGTGATTAGGTGATATGGGATAACTATGGTGAATTGTACAATTTTTGGATAAAGAGAAACCTAAGAAAGAATATAAAAACAAAACCAAAGAGAAAGAATAACAACATCGTTATTTTAACATTCCTTTTACGAGTGTTTTTATTATCCTTAAGTTGGCTATGATTATACACTTTTATAATGACTTATCTAATAATTTATTGTTTTCAATACGATTTGTTTCAACTAGCAACACCAATGCTATAGTTAATGATTATTATTGACATTCCTCTGTTGTGAGAAATCAGTACTGTACTGTAAGTAGCCTACCGGCCTATCGCGGGCAGTAGCTTACAAAACTTTCTACTGTTTTGTTTTGTTCTTTACATGGTTTATGACTACGCAATACAGTGTTTGGCTAGGTTTTAGGAGGGTTAGAACAAGCTGTGATTTTAAATTTACAGTTTTTAACCTGTACCAAGGTCAACGCCATTGTCATGATTGCGCAATATTCAAGATCCCTCCCCTTTATTATGCCGGATAATTTAGGTTCTACTGTACAATGTAAACACTGTACTGTTAAGTACTGTATTGTAGCCTATGCTACTTTAATTGTACTGTATTTTAATGAGGTCAAATCCCGACCTATATTGATCGACGCTGGTTCTGAACCTCGACTTAGCGAAATTCCTGCAAACCTAACCTCTATATAACGAACCTTGTTTTAACGAAATCCTTGATATAACGAATATTCAGTTCGGTCCCTTCAGATTCGTTATACTGAGGTTGGACTGTAGTCCTATACAAGAGCTGTTACCAGGAGCAAACTATGCTATTTTTTCAATGTAAGTTTCATGTTATATGGAGATTTTTTCGTTACAATTATCATTTAGTCTATACATATCTTAAATCACATCAGGTAATTTCCTCTTTGTTAATTTAGTAAACCTTTGAAAAATCTTCGTAATCTAACCAAGGAAGGGCTTGTGATGATGAACCACAATCAACAGCTGAAGCAAAGGTTAATAGACCAGCTTTCTCATTATTTTAAGGTTTAGTGTTGGTTTCCATTAAAATCCAAGTTGAAACACTATCGGTATAATAAACAAACTAAATTGATTACTAATTTCCCTATCAATCACTTGCAAGCATTCAATAGCTTCTCTTGTCACCGGTAACGTTTAAACGTCGTCTGCATCTAGCGATTTTATTTTATCTGACAGTAATCATAGAGTAATAAATTAAGGAAATGAGAGCCAAAAATGTGGATAACACTCATTTAATGGCCTCCATGTCCACACAACGTTGTAATAGGGAATGAAACGGCTGCAACCAGCTGTATGAAGCCAAGAAAGTAAGGCCTAATTTTTTTTTTTAAATCTCAGTTTGAAAGAGATTGTTCACGTAAGGTTGAGGTTATGATAAAAATCACTATCTCAAACAATGTTAATGTAGCGAGAAAAGTAGCTAAAATTCCGCTACAACTACTTTAAAAATGTAGCTAGCTACAGTTAAAGCTACAAAATCTTAAAAGTAGCGTAGCTAGAGCTAACGCTACAAAAAAAGTAGCGCGCTACTGTAGCGTCGCTACTTGTAGCGCGCTACTTCCCAACACTGTCCAGGTCTTACCATGAGTACTACGGTAATAGCTTATTCCCTATATGGGAAATTCGCTAAAACACTAACAACACCCCCACCGCAGCAAACCTGCAGTGTGGAGACTAAGCAAATTTTGTGATTGGATTTTCAATTAAATCTTTTCAAATAACATTAAGTATAACAAGTACCTACCTAAGTTTGCTGCTACTGGGAGGGTATTTAAGTGTGTTCTTTTTTATTAAAATATTAATAGCTTGGTACAGAATAAATAAATTTGCCAAGTTTGGTAAAAATATATCCATAAACAAGCAAACTAAAACAACACATGTTCTCCATAAGAATAACATGCAAATTTTCAATTTACAATTTTTTTCTCCATAACTAATTTGTAATAACTTAACTCTTCAATATACAACATTTTTGCTTATAAAAATGATTTAGAGAGAAATTGAGAAATGTTATAACTTAAGGGTCGAAAATGAAAAAAAAACACAAATTTTTACCCTGTCATCATGGTCAACCCCTTTCCCATGGTTTGATCATGCTGGTTTGCGAACTCCTTAAGTTTATCCCACCCTACACCTTCAAGCCAAATTTAATTAAAATCAACCAAATATTACTCAAGCGTTCATAAATCAAACTTTATTATCTTCCTTGTAGCAGCAAACCTAGGTACTCATTTAAATTAATGCTATTGAAATGGGGAATAAATTAGCCATGTTAGAGAAATTCCAATCAGAAAATAAGAAATTAGCTTAGTCTGCAGGTTTGCTGCGTTGGGCGTCTAAGGTTAAATTAATTGATAAGATGGGATTCTAACAAAAATAATTGCTAGGCTAACAAAATTAACAATTTGGCTCCTAGAAGTTGATTAATTGAAAGATTTCAAAGCGTGGATTAAGGAACTCAGTTTCTTACATTTGTGAGTCCGTTGGGTGAAGGTGACAGTTTGTTCGTCTCTGGGGTTTTGGACAGTGGAGAAGGTTGTTTCTGTTTCATCGGAGAGACCAGTTTTGCAGGGGTCTCGGAATCTGAACTTGGAGACTCTGTATCTGACATCTGGTCGTTCATGAAACATATCTGGAGGTTCATTCCTGTAACAAGAGATTTTTTTTTAATAGCCTCATAGTGTTTGGAAGATATACTAAAAGTTTCAAAATCTTTGCAATTGCAATTTTGCAATACATATTTTAGTTTCCCTAAAAACAAGTTTAAAAATTTTGTCTCGGGATTATTAACTGAGATGAGTAGCCTTAGTAGGTTAGCTACTATTCTAGCTTGACTAAATGTTTCCCAAAATAGTTAACTCCTAAGTGAGCTATTTTAAACTTTTATTTTAAATATTCCACACAGCTACAACTTTAGATTGATATGTTAAAACTAGGTGTGGTGGAGTAATGGAATAGTTTTTCTCTATTCCACCTTCATCCTAGGACGGTTTCAAGCTCTATGATTGTTTTAACACATTAGGCATACTTCAGGCTAAGCCTAGAGAGTTGCATCTTTATCACTCAGATAAAATCGATTATTGATTGGCGGGATTCGGATCCCGGACTTCAAGAACCAAAGCCTCATGCTCTACTACTAGACCAGCTTTGTAACTGCTGTGTTGTTAAGCTGTTTATCTCGAGTAGAAGGTCTATACTACTCAAATTCTTCCCTAAGTAGTTGTATGATAAACATTTTGCAATTTGAAAATCTAATTGGTACCGTAATTCAAATATCACACTTTGCTATTATGCTAGGGAGTACCGCTAACCATTTGTTTTTAATAAAAAAAAAAAAAAACAGATCTGTGCTGGCAAGTGGCAAGGTTTAAGATTAATGTAGGCCTATTCAGTAATATCTTAAATTATTTTTTTTACTGACCACTTTGTAAGCGAGCCTGCAGACTTGGCTTTCTTCCTGGTCTGTCTCCACCGTAGAACTCATCAGCGTCTCCCGTAGCCAGTCGTCGACGTATCTCTTCCCTGTCATTTCGCCTCTGTAACAAAAAAACACATTTTTTCAGTCACAATCTTTCAAAATTAAAGTAACATTATGTGATTAATTTTAATCTCACTGTAGCTTAAAAGTTTAATATTCCCTCCATAAAGGTTTGGTAAGTCACGCTGAATGCTCTCTGTTACGCTAACAGTAGGTATCAAGGGAAGAAGTTTAAATATCTAGAAGTAAAATTCTGTAAATATAACCAGTGCATTGCAGCATGAATGAAAATGCTTTCAGTCAAGAAAAGAATACCCCAAATAGGTATGGAAAATGTTTAAGAAATATTTGATTATAGGCCTACCTATAACTTAGCAATTTTTAAAGTGTTGCTTAGGTACACTTGCTAAGATTCTTCTCTAAACCAAATACATTCTGTATTCCTAGCTAATAAAAATTCAATACAAATAAGCTGTAAACCGGAATGTAAAAATATGTCATTTGATCTAAACTTAATAGGACCAATTGAACACACCCAACACAATGTCTTCATTAAAATTTCATAGTAGTGATTATTTAGAAACTTGTTTTCATGGGTCACATTAACCCTTGAGGACAGATGAAATTATGAACTAAATTAGTTAGGATAACAACTCTTTTACCTGATTGGATTTTCAATCAAATCTATTTGAATACGGTAACATTAGGTAAACTAGTAGGCTACCTAGGTTTGCTGATACAGGGACAGGGTAATAAAGGGTTTGTTTGGTAAAATATTAATAGCTTAGTATAGGCTATAAAATAAATAAATCTACCAAATTTCATTTAAATATATTTATAAACAAGAAAACTACAAAAGTTTAGCTAGCCTATTTATTCTCGATAAAAACATGATGGGGATTTTAAGTTTACAATTTGTTTAGTTTTCTTCATAACCAATAAAAAAAACTTATTTCATAAAAATCGGACTAACATTATAGGCCTACTCAAGTTAAGTTATTGTTATTCACAGACGCAAGTTATATATATTTAAATCTATAGGTAGAGGCCTATGATAGCCTACATATATAACATATACATACTAAGGCCTACAAAAATTGAACGAATTGTGTGTTTATTGGCCTTTAGGACATCAAAATGAAAAAGTAAATTGGTTCTGGCTGGGTCTTACAGTGCCACCTATGGTAATAGCTACTTTCCTATAGGGAAATTCACTACAAAAACTTACAAATAAAATATATTTAAACTTCGCTTTAAACTGAACTACCGGTACTTAAATGTTGTAACCTGGAGCCTGTTTCATAATAAACTACAAGTTGTAACTTGTAATTTCCATTAGATTCACATTGGACAATCAGCTGATTTACTAATAATATTAGTTTGTAGATTATTATGAAATAGGCCCCCGGTTGTATTTAGACTAGGCCTATACACTTTTTGCAGAGGCTTAAGTTGTACAATAGAACTGACTACAGTATTGAAACACACCACTGACCTCCTCAAATGTTGATCTGTGCTCTGCACTAAGATTTATTCAGCTAAATTACTAGGCCTAATACATTTATAAAAGTATCGGCTGCACTTTACTTTACATCCTACACTCATTCGAATGAAAATATCGATCGATATAACTTATCGATTATTTGATTAAGTAATATCGTTTGGTTAGTTAGGTAAGTTTAACCTAACCTAACTAACCAAATAATCGATAATTTCATTCGAATGAGTGTAGGACGTAAAGTAAAGTGCAGCCAAGCAGAGGTACGTATGTAGTCAAAAGAAAGCTGCTATGTACAAAGCTATTGGCAGACAGAGATATTTGATCTTACTATTTTAATGTAGAGAAAACTTACTTTAAATGAAAACTGACGGTTGAGACTATGCCTATCTTCATCTATAGTAATAACACGTGTAAATCTATCCACAATATTCTCCTCTTCGTCATAATCAGCAATTGGATTGAACTGAATGTATTCTGATCTATTTGTGTATCTTGAAGAGCTTTCAGCTTTGTTAATTTTGTTATGATTCATAAGGTTAGGAGTTAAAAAAGAAGTCTTTTGGGGTTCTTGATTCTGTTGATGCAGGAAGTAGGATGACAAACTATTGGTTTTGTCCATAATATTACATCGAATATTGGAAAAAGATTCTGATATTTTGGATGCAACTGATGAGTCTGAAACTTTAGACTTTGACCTACTTTTAAAATTTGCCAAGATATTTTCAAACATCATGAAAAGCACTGGGAAGTAAGTTAAAGGAACTCAGTAGATCGATGGACAGCATATGAAGGCCTGCTTAAATATTTACTGTTTATCACTAAGTAGAAGTCTGTTTCTGATAATTGTCTTTCCTAAAATATTAATACTTCATATCCACAATTTATAGTACAGAACAACACGGCTCAGTCCAATTTAAAACTGAGTTCAAATAAAGCAGCTTCAGCGGAATGAACATAACCTCTAAAACTAAATTCAGACGAATATCCACTGAAAATCCTTAACTTTGAGAAGCACTGGTCCCACAATAGCAATGACAGTTATATTAATTTCGTTTGTGGCATTAATTTAAGTTAGTACAGCATGATTTAGTTAGAAAACGCAGTAAATACTCATAACAAACACATAATTTGACAGTTTCCCAAATTCCACAAACCACAACACACAACACATCAAAACAAATTTGGTGCAGGCAGGCACAGGCAGAGCGAAAACGTCACAGCCCACACTCCACAGCCATTAGAATCGATTATTTGACACATGCGCATGCTGCCATATGGTAGGGAATTTATTATTAAAAAGTCATGTAAACTGTTGAAAAATTCTTATTGTTGTTTTACTGGGGTGGGGGTATGTTTAATGATAGACTAACTAACGCAAAGATTATTTTTAAACTACTGTATAATGATACATTTTTGTTAGTCCTGATTCTAGTACAGTACAACTGAAACCCTATGGGAATGATATTAACTGTATTTCTGTGCCAATATGCTGGTGCTGATATCGGCACTGTACGTTTTTGTTTGAACAAAATCCAGGTGGATTTTTGAGCCGAGGATATATGCCTGAATTTATTAACAATGTAATAAATCGTGTGTCCAAAAAAAACCGTTGAAACTGAAAAAAGTAGGACCTAATGCTTGGACCCATGTTCTGCCACCAGGGGCCCATTTCATAATAAAGTACAAACTAATATTATTAGTAAATCAGCTGATTGCCCAATGCAAATCTAATGGAAATAACAAGTTACAAGTTGTAACTTGTAACTTGTAGTTTATTATGAAATGGGCCCCAGGACTTGTTTTGAATGGAAAACGTATGATTTAATGTCAAAACATAACAGTGAGCTCTTCTTTTAGTGAATTTCCGGTACTTTCCTGTTAAAGGGAACATTCATTATTTTCGATGATTTTTTCGATATATCGATATTTTTGTTTTCCGATCTATTACAAATTGACAACAACTAACTAACTGATCTTGTTTAGGCTAAAACAGTCTTTTTTATGGATTAAGAAATGAAACTGTTCTAAGCTAACCATTTGATAACAGAAAAGGCAAGTTAAACACGGAATTTTTAAATGTTACAGCAAGTTTGGTTAGTTATGTTAGGTTATTTTTTTTACAGTTTCATTTTATTATTGTTTGTTGATACTGAACAATATTTATCGTAGTTGTCAGCTGATATGTTTCAATTTGTTAATATCGATATACCAAGAAAAAAAAACCATTGATAATAATGAATGTTCCCTTTAACAGGAAAGTACCGAATTTCCCATATATTTATTTATTTATTTATTATTTGTCATGAGAGCCGAAGCCCCCTGACTGCATACCCGGTACCTATCCTTTAGGACATACCCGGGCCCCATGATGTAGGCCGAAGCTTACGCATCAACCTTTAGCACATCATGGGCGGATGACTTAAGGTCATCAGGCTCGCCGGCTGCCGAAGCAGACCCTTCGGAAGGAGGGTTGCCCCTCAATCCTAACCAGGGATTCCGGCTGCTTGTTTAAGCGTCACTCCACCTGGGTTCCACCTATAGGTCGGGACCTAGAGGTCCATGGTAGAGCGCCCCGACGCATTTAGTGCAAGCAACGGGAATAAACTATTACAGTTGGTAAGTCTGGTGGTAAAACATGGACCCAGGATCGATTTACTTTTTTGATTTCATGTCCCCTGAGGCCATAAAATACAATCCGTGTTTTTTATTTATAATGTATTATATACAAATATATTACATTTTATTTATATATATATATATATATACGTATACAATATATACCTATTTAATATGAGTGTATGTCTGTTAGCACAGTAACTCGTGCAAAGGTGATCCAATTTTAAAGAAATTTGGTGCAAACCTACGTTAATTCGGACGAGGTTGGTCGGACCATGGGAACGAGGTTTTATGGGGAAATTTATGGAGTAATAATTGGGTTTTCTCATTTTTGGCCCTCAAAACATGAAATTTCCCAGTTTCTCTCTAAAATAGTTTGAAAAAATGGGGAAACACAAATGATTTAGTTTATTAAAGTGTTTTGTACAGAGAAAATTAAAAATATTCTTAACTTAAAATTCCCATGTTATCCTTATGGAGAATAAGTAGGTGTAAATTTGTTTCTAAAAAAATTGATTTATCTTATACCATTGACTATGTAGGTATATATAGTCAATGCTTATACTAAGCTATAATTTACTAAAAAAACACACTTTATTCAAGGTAGCAGCAAACGTAAGGTACTCGTGAAACTTAAAGTTATTTTAATAGTTTTAGGGTAGCCTAATTGACATTCAAATCAGGCAAATGGAAATTCCTGGTGGCTGCAGGAAGTAGTATGTTTTCTGTGCTGCAGGCTTGCTGCGGCGGTGGTATTTTTATTTTTTAGAAGGAGCTGAGCTAAATCCTACCAAAGTCATAAAAGTGAAATTAATTTCTGTTACAGCAATACTTCGCGTAAAAAGGGTTCTGGTATATTTAATGTAAATTAGTGCAAATAAAATTTGGCTTTCATTCTTGTTTTTACAAGTGAATTGTACAGTAATATTTTGCGAATTTAC